AATATTGTTCTATTGCTGTTTATAAAGTTCATCAAATCCTTTGCAAATCTAAACTCTTTCCTGCACAATAGAATTCCTTTATGTTGCCATGTTTTTTCTTAAGCAGGTCGGGCCCACCAGCGGCCGAGCGGTAAAGTCGCTGAACACTGGTAGTTCGGTCCGAGGTTCGAATCCCGCGAACGGGCTGGCTGCATGGGCGTTTTCGTGGTTTTCCCCATGTGTAACGCGTATAGAGCCAGTTTTCCTTGAAAGTCCTCCACGAAGGCATCCCTCCTCTTAGGCAGATAGCCCTCGAGGCTTTGCCATAATTATACACACACACACACCTTAAGCAGGTCGCAATAATACACAGTCTTCGACGAAATGTCGTGCATTGCCTTCAGCATTAAGAAAATTACAAAGATTATTATTTTGCAAATTAAATCTTTTCAGGCACGCCGGGAAGCGCCTGCGTCCAGTAATTATTTGATTGTAATCAAAATCATATATCAATCTCATATTTTTAGAAACTTCAAAGTTCAACAAATTATCTTTCCTTTTTCACGAAATATGCCATTTCTCTTTCCAGCATTCATAACAGAAATCCTTGATTTTACAAATAACAATTCTTTTTTATGCCTGAATATTGAACGCATCCCTGGCATTATTCATAGTAGTCTCTTTGGAAGACATACTGATTATTCATCGGAGAATTAGACTTTAAATGAATTCATTCCTTCACTTCTTTTCAAATAAATTCCATTACCCAGAAAACTTAATACGAAAACTTTCTAAAGCAATGCCAAGTGTAAAATGGACCCATGTATACATAAAAGCACATACATGTAGTCATAAACCCCAGTGAAATTAAATTTACCTCGCTCGTATTTACGTTATTCATATGTAACAGAACCTATAACATAAACATTGTATATAATGGAAGGTGAGGAATAGCATTTTTGAATTTAAGGGAGGGATTAATTGTAGGGATTATTAAGTCTTCAAAGTAACGAAGTGGGGAAAATCAGCTTTGCTCTCGGTATTTGAGTCACTTAGTTTCCACAGATGGATGTGCTAACCACAGCAACTGGAAGATAAGTGGATGTTGTTGAAAGGATAAATGGGTATAGTTGGATGTGCTAACCACTTATCCCACAACAATCGGTCCAATGGAAGACACCACTTACAGGGCGAACAGAAAGGGGCACAAGACTTAGTGGGCAAATTATCGAGGTGGGGATAAATGACCATCCACCACACTTTAATTCGGTCATCAGTATAAAGATTTCAGAGCAAGGAACATGAAAAATTATCTTTTTTTCACCGGGATTCCAACTAAAGAACTTCTAGCTGCTACTGGACGTCATAAACACTTGCACCATGAACAGCACGCACAAGAGAAAGACAATAATTTCTTACACAGTTTTATTTCTGGTGAGAAATAAAAGTTTCCTTTTGTTGATCTATATCATTTTTTGTAATTCAGTAAGAAATTTTGATGCTGCATTGTAGTCTGAAGTAGTAGCTTCTGTTACATTAACATTTTCACTCTTCATCTGGATACAAATATTTCAAGCTATTTTGTGATGGTGGCCAGTGCTAGATCACTTTGTTTTGATTTTGCTTTTTTCAATCAAAATCAAAAAACAAATTAACAGTTCTAATCACGTCATTATTGTTGAGATTCATTTCATTTGTAACTTCAAATTTCCAGCTAAATAGTTAGATTAGATTATTTGTATACGTCAAAGTACTCAAGGGCTATTTGAATGAAGGGAAGGGTGTTTTTGGAGAACTTTCTAAGGGAAACTGGCTTGTATGTACGAGGGTTGGAACTTTAATAGTGGCAACACAGCTGAAAAAAAGCTACGCAACAAAACCAAAGAATATCGCGTATACCACACCTAAACTACATACCTACCTTACCTCTCAGCAAAAAGACTCGTCCTACCAACGTCACGCGCATGCGGAGTGACGGGAAGAACGAATCCTTGTATTAGCTCGCGGTCTAAAGTAAATGTTGTCAGGATGTTTTCAAAACAAGAACAACGATGTTGGATAAAAATTGAATGTGCCAGAGGTCGTACAGCACGACAGTGTCATCAAGGTCTTCAAGAGGCTTGCGGGGAATCTGCATTGCCTTACAGAACCATAGCAAGATGGATGAAAGCATTCAATGAAGGACGCAAAACGTGGCAGACATGCTGCGGCCAGGTCGTCCGAGTGTCAGCGATGCAGACGTGCAAGCTGTTGCCGCACTAATGGACAGTGATCGCCGCCAAACGATTCGTTAGCTGGTCGGACAAACAGGATTAGCACATACGACTGTGCTGCACATTCTTAAAGGAACGCCTGTCCATGAGAAAAATTGCTTCACGATGGGTTCCACATCAATTGACGGAAATGCAGAAATGGCTACGATACGATGCTGCCCAACCCACCTGCAGCGTTATGAGCGTGAAGGAGATGCTTTTTTATGCCGTATCATTACGCTGGATGAGACTTGGGCCCAATCGTACTAGCCAGAACTGAAACGCCAATCAAACGAATGGCGTCATCGCAAGTCACCACGACGTTCGAAATTTCGTCAGAACCCCAGCAATGTGAAAGTTATGGTGATTCTCATATACGACTGTGATGGTGTCATCCTAACGCATACCGTTCCCCCACAGCAAACCGTCACTGCGCAGTATTGCTGCTCATTTTTGGAGCACAATCTCCGACCAGCTTTGAGAAAAAAGCGGCGATACTTTCTGCAGAACGCTCCTCTCATTTTGCATGACAATGCTCGGCCGCATGCAGCGCAAGCTGTGACTGATTTGTTCAAGCGATGGGGCTGGGAAGTGCTTTACCATCCACCATACTCCCCAGATCTAAGCCCTTGTGACTAGGACTTAATTCCTAAGATGAAGGAATCACTTCGTGGCACTCGCTTCCAAACTGTTCCTGAGATTCTTGCGGCAGTAGACCGGTCCATTCAAAACTATCAACAAAACAGGCGCTGCTACAGGTATTCTGCGATTTCCACATCGGAAACGGGTTGTACACAATGCTGCGACTATATTGAAGGATTGTAAAACATGGTGACATGAATCACTTTTGTATTCCTTGTAAATAAATAGTTGCCACTATTAAAGTTCCAACCCTCATATGTATACGTTTACACTTGGGGAAAAATATGGAAACCAACCATCGTCTCGGATCGTGCCCAGGTAGAACTTACAGCATTCAGCGGCTTTAACCACTCGGTCGCTAGTGGATCCGTTAAATAATTAACATACTTTTCATGTCAATCAAAACTGCAGTTCGATATCGTGTGCATAAAGCATTTAAATACATAGATAGCCTTTTACCTTCTTTTTATATTTTTTTTTATTTAGTACGTGCTCCGCCCTTAGGCACTACACGGAAAGGGAGAGATGCCCCGTGGAGGTCTTTTTAAGGGAAACTGGCTCGTATCCACGTTACATATGGGGAAAACCTCGAAAACGCCCATGCAGCCAGCCCGTTCGCCGGGACTCGAACCCCGGAACTACCAGTGGTCAGCGGCTTTTACCGCTCGGCCGCTGGTGGGCAGCCTTTTACCTTCAGCTTGTTATTTTTCGATATCGCCAAACTCTCAGTATTTAAAACGTGACTCATTATATTCCCGCTGCCTACTAAACTTGCCCACTAGTGGCCGAGTGGTTAAAACCGCTAAACACTGTTAATTCGACCAGAATTCTAATTCCGGCGAGCGAGTCGGCTTCGTGGACGTGCCCGTGTTTTTTTTTTTTTTTTTTTATGTGTAGCGTGAGTTCGAACCAGTTTCCCTTCGAAAATCCTCTGCAAATGCCTCCCAAATATTATACGTATATATAATGCAGATAGCCCTAATGTGCTTTATCGTAATCAATCAAACAATTCAAATTAGTCTTTGGAAAACTTAGCCTTATTGCGTTATGTTCAAACCTAATTTACGGAGTCTTCGTGTTCTCTTTGGTATCATAAACTGTCGACTCTGAAGACAAATTATTCTTTATATTGAAGACGGCTTGCTATGTCTTTAAAAATAAATACTGCGGAAGAAAGGTTTAAATAACCTTTTGTATTTAACTAAATTAAAACAGATGCAGGCATTTCGTGCTCACAAGTCACCAGAACTTGTGGCCAAGTAAATTAACAGAAAAAAAGAATGCAACAAATTACTAGTAAATTAAGAATTCTAATGACTGGCTTCTTAGCTTAAACTAACTCTAAATCGACTGCACACAGCAAAGTCGAGCCGAGAAATATCAATATAAACTGAAAGGTGTCGAAGACCGAACTAGAGAGCTAATTTAAAATTCACAGCACACAAATAGTTAAACCAGATAGCAACAATCAAAACCACGTTTATCAGCAGATAGTTGTGTTTCTTATGATTTAAGGGATTATTATCACAGCAGGAGAACAGATCTATGGGTCTTCCTCACCTTTTGCCCTGTCAGAAACCTCTCGAGAGGACCTTCGGCTTGAGAGTATTTTAAGGGCTTCCATGCCACAAAAATTCCATACATTTACAAACACCCCTGCCTTCTCCACGCCCAAGGCTATAAGTCGGCACGTCTACCGCCATGCCAGCAGGGCGACAAAGTTACATAATTTAAGGACGACAAAGTGAATAGTTCAAGTTAAAATCGCTGTTCTGAATCTCTTCCCTTATGCAAAATTTATCCAAGGCTTATTGCCAACTTCGGTACTTTAGTAGTCGTTAACAATTTTTTTTTTTTTTTTTTTTTTTTTTTTTTGTGTGTGTGTGTGTGTGTGTGTGTGAGAGAGAGAGAGAGAGAGAAAGAAGTTCTGTATTCAGATCCTAACTAGAATCCATATTTTGGGCGATCTATCGCTGGAACACTATTATGTTTTATATACAGCACTCAGTATTAAACAACTTTCTAAATAAGATTCCGCATAAAAGTTACAATGCATTAGATTTATTTTGTTTATCCTAATGATTATTTATGATTTACTGATTGATTACTAGTCTTCTTTCCACGCAGAAGCTCTCCAAAATGCTTTTCTTGTTTGGATTTTCTTTGATTCTCTCAATATTTGCTGCAATAAAATGCCAACAGTGTCCAGATCGGTATAAGAGATACAGTGTAAACCATTCTTTCTGCAAACCACAAAATCGTACTTGTTCCATTGTCATCGAAGGAGTAAGAGATAAGGATAAGGCTCTCATATTGGATTTGCACAATAAATACAGAAGCAAAGTAGCTCAAGGATTAGAAAAAAGAGGTGGGGGTCTACCAAAAGCAAGCAATATGATGCAGCTGGTGAGTAAATCGTTTCCTACATTTCGTACAGTTGTTATCTGAAAGAGACTAAACATTTCTCTAAAATGAACTTTTAATAAACGTGTAATTTTTTCCTTAATTCCAAAAAATGGCATGTTATTTCTAATTTTGTATTGCTTTTTATTTTTACCAATGGTAATTTTTATTTGGGTTTGTCTTCGACTTTTTTTCGCGAAACCTACATTTATTAATAAGTCCTTCATAAAAGTAAATAGAATTTCATCAAAAGCTATACAAAAATAAAAATGACAAAGATTTAGCTATGTTTTCTCTAGCCATTTTCTATCTTTTATTGTTTTTTAGTGAGTTTTTGTCAAAAATGCAATTAACTAGGTAAATTTATATAAATATTCAAGTTTAAAGCAAGAAATTCGGATTTGCACGAACCTCATTGTGGTTTTAGACATTTAAAACAAATAAATAGTTCTTGAGTAGCAGTCTAGAAACACAACAGAAAACTTCAGAAAAGTATTAAGATAAATTATTAAGTTTTCTGGTGAGAAACTGGTTGGTCGTCAAATCGTCGCGTGTTTCACAAATTTAAAACAGGTGGATGATTCTTAGAGCTGAAAGTATAACAATGCAAAAAATTATTTCACATAACTAGTTAGTATTTATAGCAGCAGAAACTTAATTTAACAATTAGGAACACAGCTACTTAGCTCTCTCTCTTTTTTTTTTTTTTTTTCTTTTCTTTTCTTTTTGTTTGTTTATTGTTTTTACTAAAGCAACTTTAATGATAAATTTAAATTGCTATATTAGTAATTTAAGATTCTGTGGATGCCTTGGGAGCAGCCACAATTTGTCATTGTTCATTCATGTTCACAAAAAAGCAAATGTACAATGTATCCTTTAATTTTAATTCCTTATATTTTGCATTGGGAAAAAACTGCACTCGGAGACACTCATATATTAGTAAACATTCAGCTATTTCGAAGAATTTATTATTGAGATAAAACTCAAACAAACGTGTTGGTAAGTACAATAATATCTAAACTTAGTGTTAACTTCCCTGTTAAAAAAAGTAATTAACTAAACTTCTGTTGCTTGCCTAGGAACCTGTCGAATAGCGCCGAGTGTGCTAACCGTTACGCCACGAAGACATGCCGGAAGGAGGGAGCAAATACCTTATATACTCCCCCTTTTAAAGCGCGACTAGGGATTAGGTTATCCATTTGCCCAGTTCTGGTAGTGAATAATCATCATCCACCATCTTTTAGTTCGGGCGACATTGTAGAGTCATTAGGATTTTTGAAGTAGGAAACACGAAAAATGAGCAATGCCCTTTCCGGGACTCGAACCTGGTCCTCTCGAATACACGCCGAGTGTGCTAACACCATGAAGGCATGCTGGAAGGAGAAAGAAAATTTGAAAGAATTATTAACTAAATGTTTCTCACCAAATGTTAACCTTTCAATGTGTATTTTAATGTTTGCTTCTCACCTTTGTAAGAGGTTAGATTTAATCTTACGTAAAAACTGGAGGTTGAATAATTAACATATACTCCAAAACGCTTTCAACCGTTAAGGGGCGACTTTTTCATGAGCACTATTATAATGTGCAGTTGTAAAGCTTGTCCCTCACCTAGTCAGTTGAGATTAACGACGACCAATTAAATGTGGCCTATGCTTTTAAGGAGATTTTTTTCCATTGCGTCACTTTTAATTCATAAAATATACAAACTAAATAATAAATGAATAAACAAATTAGTAAAAGTAATGCCAAAAAGGTTCTACGGCAAGAAAACAATTATATGCAGTAGAGCCCAAAGGAAAATAGTATTAGACAATAAATTTTAAATTTCTTGATTAAGTATAGGTATTTCTTTACTTATTGGATCTACAGATTAGAAAAAAATATTAGTTACATTTTAAAACCGCACAAACTTTACTCTGATGACTAAGGTAATTTTATCTACAAATTTATCTAATTTCTTCAAGGCATCAAGCAGCGTTTATGGGTAAATTGATATAAAGACGCAACAAACGTAATAATACGACAAATAAATGTATACTGTATTAAAAACAATTTAATATGAATCGGAAAATACATGTTTGAAAAAAGCTTAACCATTAATATTTTTTTTCTACCAACGAATAGAAAAAATTCGTAAATTTTTAAGACCTTGTTTTCTTCTGCAAATCGCTTTTACCCAGATGCCGCCAGATATGATCTCAATTATATTTTCGCTCCACTGTCTTTGAGAAATATGTTTATAAAGTTCAACTTGCTGTATTATAAGTGCTTAACTTATTATTCTAAATGTGTATGTAAAGTTTTCTTTAAGTGTATGCAACTTGAAGACAGCTATTAGGAATTTAGGCTATTAGGAATTTAGGAACACAGCTATTTAGTTCTTTTCTTTTCCTTTTTTTTCTTTTTGTAAAAATTTAAATAAAATTTTGTAAAATGCTTTTTGTAAAAATGTTAACGAGCTTTTCTAAAAATTCCATACAGACCCTTTTAGTTTTATAATTACATTAGTTAACAATAACAACAAATTTGTCAGAAAACTAATTTTTTTTGAGCGAACTCTACGTCTGCGGAAGTTCCTTACACTTAATGTCTTTATTCGGTGCTAAAGAAGACTCCTTCGTACCTCAGTTCTAGTTGAGAAGAAAGTGTCCTGAAGATGTCTGAATGTAAAACACTTTATGTCGGAAATTTTAAATCTCTTTACTGACAGCAGTTTAATGTGCAGTAGTGGCATTAGCAATTTTTGGTGATCAAATAAGCTGTCCTGATTGACATTGTGAATTTCTACAAAGAGCTCAGTTCTCTGCAGCTAATATCTTCTGTGGCTTGGTATTGCCAGAATGGCGTTAATAATGAGGTTTTTTAAAAATAACTTGAAGACTCGGAAATAATGTCACAATTTTGAAGACTTCAATGACCTTGCAGCCATATCCATCATATTTCAAAACAAGCATTAATAAAGACGTGGCTTTATTAGCTATTACGAGTCGCTTAGACCTATGGGGGTAACGATGACCGCCTGTTAGGTGCCTCCGTAAAAAAATGACCACCACGCCTAGCCTTAGTAGTGGCGAAAGCCTAAAAATGGCTAGTGCCCGCCATAAAAATAAATAAATAAATAAAAATAAAAATAAAAATTAGATACTACTGTCAAATAATATTTTACTCTTACTTTCATAAATTGTCTGTACACATAACAAAATGAATCTTACAATCACTGAATACATGACCTTTCCGGTTCTGAAAATTAAAATTTTTTTCAAACGCCAGTCATAAAGAACTAAGTTAGAATGATAGTCATATGAATAATATGTGCACTTGATCACGACTTTTCATCAAGTGGGAAGTGCTGAATACCAGAGGTTACTGCAAGTCTGTAGTGCGGTGAGCAATTTACGAAAATCTCCTTACTAAATGCAAAAGCATGTAAGATATATTTTAATTCTATAACAGTTATTTTAATTTTAAAGTGCTTTTCCTATTGATTCTTGTTTCCACATACCACTCCCTACCAGAATTAAATTTTAGAATCACGTTGAATGCAAATGAGTTAGAAGTAGTATTTAAGGAAGTTTCAACGTACTTCCTGAGAGAGAGCCAAGAATCCTGAGTAGCGCGTGGTTGCCTAAATCTCTCATGAAGCTGTTACGCTCGGCCGTATTTATTACATGTATTTTGATATTCGCCGGCTAGTTTAAATTAAGGGCCAACTACGTTAGATATTTATATTAGCTTCGGCTAAGTATCTTTTAGTTAGTTAAAATTTAGGTCTGAGTTTTTGTAAGTCCGAGAAAGCGGCCAACTGCTATTCTTCTTTGAATGAAATAAAGGGTAGTTTAACCCTTCTTGAGTCTACATCTTTAGTTATTTAAACTAAGCAATAATTCGCTAACAGTTCACTGGCTTCCTCAATGTTCATTTAGTAGAATAAGAGTGATTAACCCTACAAGCAAAAGACAAAATGTAAATGAATTTTATTAAATATCTTTTAAGCCTAAGCCACTAGAAAATTATTCATAATAACTGAAAGAAAAATAACATTATTTAAGGAATATGTATATGTTATACATGAATGCAATCAATATAAACGTACATTCATGCATATGTTTACATTTCAGTAATCATAACATGAACTTAGGCATCTGAAGACTTTTTCATTTGTTATTCTCATATTTTATGCTAGTTTCATTAGTTATATTGATTTAATAAATTAAAACATTTTTAAAGTTCTGGGACAAAGAACTAGAAGCTGTTGCAACGAATTGGGCTAAACAGTGCATTTACAAGCACGATTGTTCAGACTGCCGTAAAGTGGGTAAGTTGATGCATTACTTTTAATTTTACAAGGAGTAATATCCTTATGTTTGATGATATTTATCATACTCAGTTCTGACATTGTATCATGTATTCTTTCCATGTTTTAAGATGGAAATATGGAAGTATTATGCGTTCAAATCTAGGCTGCACTTCTCGAATGGCGTCCTACAAAATTAAAACATTATAATAATAAGCATACTAAGCGTTCCATGTAGAATATGTGGTCGAATATGCTTAAACTGTTGATCGTAGACAAGAGTTTTCAATTTAAGAAAGGAATCAAAAAAGGTAGAAATCCAGATTACGCAACTTTTTGGGAAGCGTATACCGATTAGTCAAAATAATCAAAATTTGTTTTTAAACTTTCTCTTTTCAGAGAAGATTTCAATCAGTAAATCGTTTATTATTCTATTAGGGATCAATAAAGAAAACTTTATGGATGCATGTTGCGAGTTTGTAGAAATCTCTTTAAATAATTACACATTAGAGGAAAAAGACTTGGATCACTATTGAGATAGAAAAGAAATCACCTATAAATAATATAAATAATGAAGCAAAATAACACCTATAAATAATGAAAGTAGGAGAAACGGGGGAAAAGGAAATGGGCCGAAATTCTTAAAACACAAAGAGTATAGAAGATCGCTAAAATCGCTCTCAGAGCAAACTCTGAAACAATAATCACTGAGCAGAAGCTCGATAGTATGAACTCAATTAACTAACTGACAACTGTTCACAATCTCCTATTTATATGACTGCTCAAGAAGACAGGTAAGCACATCTGGAAGTTTCGAGAAAAATCACTCATGCTGCTTCAAAAATGTGTTTTTCAAAAGATTCTAATTTGACGCCAACTTGGCGACAAAAGCTGTCTCTAAGACCGATCAGGTGTCTGCTTATGTGTGCGGTTTTACTTTGGCTATTCTTGGAATCAAATGCCAATCGACTCAAAATTAAAAGATCTACAGTTTAATTAATATAAATAAAGAAGAGTGCCCGGGTGTTTGTCTTTCATCCAGATCTGCAGTTTTATTCCGATCTTGGGATCTTGAAGAAGAAGGTCACTGTCTACATAAGATTTATCAAAACCAAGCCACGGGTTCACACTCAACGCACTTATGAGAGAACGGTGCACTCACGGCACTCATCTTACGTACACATTACCCATCTTAGGTTCACATCGTCGTTGTTGCGTTCCTGCTATCAGCGGAAGACATACAGGTTAAGCGAGGAATTCATAATTGCTTTTTACAAAAAAATAAGTATTAATATTCCTGAGTAATTTCAATTTTGGAATCATGTCATCCATTTAAGGTTCACTGCATTCCCGCTATCAGTTCTTACAGGTTTGGTTTGGCTTATTTAATTATGGCAAAGCATTCGAGGGCTATCTGTCTAAGGAACTTGCCTTCCATGGAGGACTTTCTAAGGGAAACTGGCTAGTATCCACGTTACCCATGGTAAAACCACAGAAACGCTCATGCAGTCAGTCCAGTCGCAGGGATTCGAGGCCCACCAGCGGCCGAGCGGTAAAGTCGCTGAACACTGGTAATTCGGTCCGAGGTTCGAATCCCGCGAACGGGCTGACTGCATGGGTGTTTTCCGTGGTTTTCCCCATGTGTAACGTGTATACGAGCCAGTTTCCCTTAGAAAGTCCTCCACGAAGGTATCCCTCCCTTTAGGCAGATAGCCCTAGTGTGCTTTGCCATAATTAAATACACCACACCGCAGGGATTCGAACTGCCAGAGTTCATCGATTTTACCGCTTAGCCGCTGGTGGGCCTACCAGTTTTTACAAAAACCGATAGATGGCGCATGTTCGTTAACTGTTGAGAAGAGGGTAAGAGCATTTAAAGCCGATTTTAGGTGGGCTCTCCATTAGTTTTTCGCGAATACTCCGAAAACGGTGAAGAAATTGGCCACAGTGGATGATGATTTTCAAAAAAAAAAAAAAAAAAAAAAAAAAAACATCCGATTACAAAACTAGTATCAGTTCTTGCTAAAATATTTGGATGCCGACGCGTTAGTTATATCTTTAGAATAGTGTGGAACCTTTACAGGAGAACTTAAATGTGTCTCTAATCAGCTTTTTCTGACCTCGAAATCGGGATTTTGAAAAGCCCGTCTGTTTCTCTAAACGAAGCCTCTTCAAATATGCATAAGGCTCGGCCAATGTCGGCTACTTCAGCTAGTACTTGAAATAAGCACGTGTATTATACTGTAGATAACATGCACTAATTAAGTAAATAAGTAAGTAAATAGATAAAAACAATCACCTAACAAGATGAAGATACATAAAAATCAAATTATGAAGAAAGAAACACAAATATTTTTTTAAAGCTTTTTGATTCAAAAGTTATGTTTTGGGAAATCCGCGTTTGAAAACTGTGCATAATTATATTAAGCACTATTTGTATACAGTCTCCAAAATTTTCAACTAATAACAATGGTTTTTGTATGGTCTAATTTGACCATAAAAAAAAAAAAAGTTTTCCCTGCCCCTTGTACGAATTATTTATTCGTGATAAACATTTTCTCCCAAAGATTTTTTTTCCCATACAATATCCATATAAAGAGTTAAGTTTCCAATATTTTTATCCGAAAATAGAAATTTTTCACTATCTGAAAGCCTACCTTATATGTTTCATTTCTCAAAAACTGAAACGACCGACTGAACCAATTTTAAATATATTTCAGTCATATAATTTTTTTTAAACAACCTGCTTGTGAGAATGGAAAACTTTCACATGTATATAAATATGGGGGGTAGTTTTGTATTTTATATGAATACATGTGCTAATTTAAATGCATTTGTTGTACATTGATTTTTTATTTTTTACTGTTTTGTATTTTATTTTTATTTACTTATGCATCAAATTTAATATTTTCATGGTAATTTATTTTGTGCATTTTTTAATTTGTTGAGGTTTATTGTATTTCTATGTGTTCATAAGTCATTTATCATCTTATAATAGCTATAATTCTGACTAGGATGACTTTGACTGAATGAAAATGAGATATATATTATTGAGATCTACCGGGCTTTAGTGGCAAATTTTACCACACCTTAGTAATATTTACCGATGTTTTTTGCCAAACTGGAGGCATTTTAGATAATACACTGCCGACATCCATATGACTGATTTTTCTAGAAGATTCCTGTAGTGCCTGTCTTTTGGATATGGTAGAAATTAGAGGTTGCCAGGAGTTTTAAGACTAATGTGCTACTGAATTAACATATTCTGTAAATTTAGCAATGATGGACGAAATATTTTGTAACTTGCGATGTTTGTCTTGTGCTAAGAGCATTAGAAATATACTCCAGTTCGCTTTGAAAGGTTTCTGTCTGATCATCTGCATTTAAAATTAGATACTATCACTTGAAGCTAAAACGATGCCTTAAAATTACTTTAATTATTTAAAAATATCGGCGAACCCGTGTAATAGCAATTAACATAAATAAACGTTTACATACAATATACTCCTTCTAAGAGAATATCCGCGGTTCAAGATAAATACTGTCTTTTGCAGACGATCGTCTTTGAGAAGATGCCTATTAGCAGTCACGAAAGTTAACATTATTTAAATTTGTTTCAACTTTAAAATGATGCTAGACAATCTTACTGTTTTTCTTATTTCAAAAGTAAAATCTTTTTGTGTTTTGACGTGTTTTGTTAATTTTGATGTTTTTTCTATTGAGCGAAATTGAATAGGAAAAATGAAAAGACTAAAATTTGTGAGATTTTAATGAAAATGAAAAGCTTTAAAAGAAATCTGATTTACCTAGTTAAGAATGAATTTATAATACGTGTTAGCAAATAAGCTATTCTTCGAGAAAAGTTTTGGAATTCATTGCTCGTTGAGAGAAAAAAAAAAAAAAAAAAAAAAAATCTGATGTGTACGTCACACGATTTCCGTGTACGGAATATTAGATTATACGCATTTTTTGGTGCATTTCATTTAAACTTATTTCCTTGAATTTCATTAGAGATATATTTCTCATTCAATTAATTCAGTTCTCACTTCGCGGCAGGCAGGCAAATGTACCAAACTCAAAATATCTTTAATAAAAATTGAAAAATATAGAAAAATATAAAACACCACATACAGTTAAAATAATTAAAGAAACAATTTTTACAATTAAAATTAGAATTTCTATGTAAAACAAGCAATTTGGGCAGCAGGCAAGAAGGCAAAGTTTTCGGTGCACAAAACTGAAAGTTTGCTTGGGGCCAAATTCGTCAAAAAGGCATTGAAGGTGCAAAAAGAGTTAACTTCTGCCAAGTTTCAAATGTAAACAAATATTGCTACTATGGTAAATAAACTAGGCTTAGCCGCACTTAAACAACTTTTAAATTGTTGATAATTCTAAAACTATTGCATGGAGATCAACTAAAGGCATAAAAGTCTTGACCGAAAGATAAGAACAACATAATTCAATCCTTTCTAAAGCAAAAAAATGTACATTTTTCAACATATTAATAAAAATAATTGAACTCACGGAGCCGAGTAACAGAGTGGGTTATATAGATATTTATTTATGTACTTTTCGGTGCAGCCCACTGCAATCAAAAAGGCAGGTGTACAACTACATGTTATAGCAGTCCTATATACAAATTTTCAACGTTCTGAGGCTACTCGTTTTTGAGTTATGCGAGATACATACGTACGTACAGACTTCACGAAAAAAAATCTCTTCTGAATCCATTTTAAGTCCTCTTTTGCAACCCGTTTTGGGAAAAAGAGTCCTATATTCTGTTCTTACATACAGGTGTTACGCAAAAACATCATTAAATTGCATTCGATACAGGTCAAAATTTAGGAAACACATACAGCAGTTCTCTAAACTTAATGCTCATGCAAGTTTCTATTTTGCCTAGTTTCAAAATGTTTTTTAATATTGTCTTTTTTGTGAAAAGATAAGCTTCCTAAAGCTAGTATTCATTAATTGTGAACTTCAAGAATTAATCAGTACGAAATTCTATAAATCAGTCCCAATGTATAAACTATGCAATAAAGAACTCTATAATCAGTGGTCAGAAGCTTATCAGTTTAGCATGTTTGATTTTGCTTAATTTTTGCAAAAAAAATTACTATCTGATAATTGACAGGAGTTGGGAAGCAGAAACACTTTTCATTTGTCTTTTCAGAAAACTTCGCTGTCGGGCAAAACATTGGATACATAGAGAATTATTGTCCTTCTCGTGGAAAATGTGATATACCTCAACGAAACTGGACTGGCATAATACAATTGTTTTATGATGAAGTCGCAATTTTCCCGAAACGCTTTTTAAGCAACATGCAATTTGTTGGGCAAAGTGAATATGGTCATTTCACTCAGGTAAATACAATTTACGTTCATTAGCCTATCATTAACAGCAAATACTCAAAATAAACTGAATTATTTATTGCAAAAGGAGAATATCTTGTGGTTCTAAAATGCTCGTTATTCATAGGCAAGCATTTATTTTTAAAATGTTGATTTTGATAGTAAAGAAAGTACTACTATCGTATTCCTCCATGGCCCGATGCACTTACATTTCTTCTTAAATCACTTGTGATGTCTCCCTTCATAAATTCAAGCATCACAGTAGTAATAATACATTTTTACTTATATATTTATCACTTATTCTATATATGTAAAATAAATCCTAATTTTAATTTGTAGTAATTGTAATTTAATTTTTATTTGTAAGGAATTGCTTTTTACATTTCCTTTTTAATTTAGTCGCTTTCTGTTTCTAAAAATAGTAACATACTTATATAAATTTCTTTACACTGCGTCATTTCGAAATTAATCTATGTCGTATGTAAACTTAATTAGCCAATAAGGATAAAGTTAAACTCAAACTAAAATATTAGATATACAAATATACAGATGGCAGTAGTTGGTCGTGTACAAAATATATAAATGGGCAGTATACCGGCAGGGCTTTTATTTGTATTCAAGTTATTCATGTGAAAAGGTTTCTGACGTAATTATGGCCACACGATGGTCATTATCAGACTTTGAACGCGGAATGGTAGTTGGAGCTGGACGCATGGGACATTCCTTTTCGTAAAATCGTTAGGGAATTCAATATTCCGAGGTCCATAGTGCAAATATCTAATTTCAGGCATAACCTACTACCATAGACAACGCAGTGGCCGACCACCTGCACATAATGACCAAGTTCGGCGACGTGTGCATAGAGTCGTCAGTGTTAACAGACAGGCAACACTGCGTGAAATATCCACAGATATCAATGTAAGACGTATGACGGTCGTGTCTGGTAAGACAATGTAGTGAAATTTGGCTTTAATGGGCCAAATTTCACTATGCAGGAGGCTATGGCAGCAGAAAACCGAGACGAGTGCCTTTACTAACAGAACGACATTGTTTGCAACGCCTCTCGTGGGCTCGTGATCATATAAGTTGAATCCTAGATGACTGGAAAACCGTGGCTTGATCAGATGAGTCACGATATCTATTGCTAAGAGCTGATGGTAGGGTTCGAGTATGACGCAGACCCCACGAAGCCATGTTCCCAAGTTGTCATCAAACCACCAAGGAAGCTGGTGGTGGCTCCATAAGGGTGAGGGCTGTTTTTTCATGGCAAGGCCTTGGTCCTGTGGTCCAACTGAACCGATCATTGACTGGATCAACTACTTAGCGATCACTTGAAAAACAGCCATTCATAGATTTCGTATATCCAAACAACGGTGGAATTTTTATTAATGACCGAGCCACAAGTAGTTGGCTTCGCGATTGGCTTGAGTATCATCGAACATTTATGGAACATAATCAAGAGATCAGTTCGTGAACAAAATCTTGCACCGGCAACACTTTTGCAATTATAGAAGTCTATAGAGGCAACACGGGTCAACTACAGGGAACTTCCAAAGACTTGTTGAGTCCATGCCACGTCTAGTTGCTTCACTTCGCTGGGAAAAATGAGGTCTGACACGATATTAGTACGTATTCCATGACATTTGTTACCTCAGTGTACAATGTGACCTTGTCGCTGGATGTCCACAGAGACAATTTATTTGCTTTCTGTGAAATCTAAAATAATAATCAGGAAACTGAATCTATAATGAATTCTGGGTGGAAAAAATGTAACTTTGTTAAAAAACACGTATATGGGCTCATATTATGAGTCCTTCTCCAAACTTTCATTCTGTAAAATCAGCACGTCAATAGTATATTTTATTTCGGAAATAATTGTGGTGCAAGTTTTAGGTGATTCACCCTGTATATCAAACTGGCGCCCATTCGTATTCATTTTTATTTTTATCTCATTTTTAATGACTTTGTTATTATTATGACTATTTATATAGAGAGAAAGAAGTTTTTTTTTATTTTTATTGATTTGTTACATTTTAAGAGAAAAGTTCCAATCATTTTTTATTTTGATCTTATTCTGCACTTTTGAACAAGTGAAATTTGTTCGCAAAATATTGGACGAGTTTCATGCTCGTACTGCTTAAAAATGACCATGACTGGATGGCTTTAAACACACAATGGTACGTAACTGTGATGTACTTTAAGAATAATGTTTCAGATACATCGAAAGTTTTTTAAGATACTTTAAATGTAAGAGAAGACCATCTAGAGCAAATGAATTAACATATATAGTTCGAAGAAATGTAATTTACGAGTATTAACAGTTAGTAATTAAATTCCAAAATGTATCGGTTGCAGCAACACTATTTTCTCTGTCAACACGAATATTTGGAATCAGGTGGAAAATATGTAATGCAACGTGTGTGCTGAAATAGCACTGAGAGTTCGAACTGCAGGCAAAAGCCTTCTTCTGGCATAAACTGTAATTTTTCTTGCGGATTTTAAGCCATAAGCATTGCTATAAGAACGCGAATTTTGATATTTTGATGCATTTTATCCATGGGCTGCGGACAGAAACGGAGCAGTTACTCGAAAGACTATAGTGAACAGAGAGCTATACAGAGAACACTTTTCCGGGGATATGTTTTGAGCAACTACTCCGTTTCTATCCCCAAACCCCACATATAAAATATATATTGGTGGACACCACATTCGTGTGACAATATAATAAGTTTCGAAATCTGTACGGGGAATGATGGTTTACGAAAACGGACCGTTTTTACCCACCGATCTCAACAGCGCAGAGTGCCATCTCAAATTCCATACACACATTCCATTGCAAAATTCGCTTATTTTGGATTCATTCCTCTATTTGCCTAGATTTCTTTGAATCACCTTGTATTTTGAATAGTCCAATAACGACCAACCCAGTCTTCTCATAGCTAGCATATCACGAACACCAGTATATACTGTTTGGACCAAAGCTATCAAATGAAGAGAGCTGGGTGTGTTTCTTGTCGTTCATCACATGTGCTTTCAAGTTTCTAGCCAACTTTTCAGACGTACGCTCTAGCACACATTTCTGCTAAATACAAATAAGATATTAGCTGGAGAGATGTAAATACAATAGAAAGGAGTCAGGATTTTTCGGGGACAGACACAGACAGCATTTTAGTCACATTACTTTGTTTCCGTACTCCCACGCTCCGTCAAATTCACCACTATTCTGCTTTCTTATAAGCTCACGCTTTCTATTAGGGCCGATTATCGCAGTTTCCGAGCTCAGAGAACTCTAATTTACCATATTAATGGTCTCAAAGACCTAGGATAAGAATGATACGCAATTTGCTAAATAATTCTGAAAAAAGATATTTTTATATTTGAAGTGTTGATGACTAAGAATTCAGCATTATTTATTACATTGCACAGTGTACGATGCATAACATTTTGCACTACAGATACTACACTTTTTCATTTTTCTATCATCTTCGGAGAACTAAATTAAAACATCACGGTACCTTATTTTTAAACGAACGAAAGAAAATGTATAGCGTGTAATATAATATACAATATACTTTGCATTATTTTATTTAGCAATGTTACATGTAATCTAATGGTCTGTATGATATTTTTCATAATTGCTTTCTTTTAAAATTTTGTTTTGTCTTAATTAAGTACAGACAACGTTTTTATATGTTAAGTGCACAGTTTATTATTTTTATTATTTCTTAGGTGCAGTTTATTTTTTTCAGATGGTCTGGGCAGATACATGGAAAATAGGCTGTGGCTACATTATTTACAAGAATGGAAACGCATACAGGCAGTTCTTCGTCTGCAACTATGGTCCCCAGTAATATTTTCTCACATATTCGTAACGTACACATAAAAGATAAGAAGGAAAAGAAAGAATTTTCTTCTTTAATTAATTTAATTTAAAATTCATAACAAGTTCGCGTCACGTGACGTATATGAATAGGACATCCATGTGTCAACTGGAAGATCAACAGTTCGAGTCCTGGTGGCGGTATAACAATAATAATGCTTGTCTATGTGCTCCGTCATTAGACCAAACAATTCACCAAAGAACCAAAGTACCAAAAAACCACAAAAAATCAAAGAACTTCTAACCAAAAAAACTTCTAACAATACATATTCTTTGCCTTTATCCCTGTGGGCCAAGCACACCAAGCAGAGTACAGAGTTCTTACCTCTCTCCTCACAAGGCAGTAGTCTTCGCCAACCCTCCCTCAGTAAAACCGTATAAATTATCTTCCTTCGGGGTTCTGGACCGCCAAGCTCGTGATTTTATATCCCCGTGGCCGAGACTGCCTAGGTACATATCCTAGCCAGTAGCTTCATTAGCAAAATTAGGAATATACGAGTTCTCTACGTCGACACCCCCAGACGTGGCGGTATTGTCGACTTTTACATTTCTCGAATTTTTAATTCCTACAAGGTTATTCAAAATATGATCAAAGGTGTAGGAAAAAAGGCATTAAAATGGAGGTACTTAATTTCCACCAAATACTGTAGACCAGTGTTTCTCAACCGTCCGTCCTCGGACTGGCACCGGTCGCAAGAAATATTTGCCGGTCCGGCGAAATATCCAGCTATCTGTTCAAAACCCAAAGTGTCATCAGCAGACAACCGATATTACAACAGAACCTGATTATGATCGCTGATAAAAAATATAACAAACTGGCAACTATGTACCTAATCGCCTTTCATAAATTGGCCTGCCGTACACTCAGTGCACCAGTTAGTGTGTTCCTGTCTGCCTTGAGTATCGCTGATTACTTGAACGCTGAATATCTATCGTAGTGTTTAAGGCGTCTTAGGTTAGGTTTTCGCTTTTTATCTTGCTTACGTTCTGCACGCTTGGGCAACTGAAAAGTATATATCAGCGTAAGTTTTTAATAACCGCTGAATTTAACACTGTGCTAATAACTACTATTTCTTTAACTTTAGGAAGATTAAAAACCAATAACCAGGTTCGGGTCATGTACCTTTTCAACAAGTGATGATCTACAAGTAAGAAATAAACGAAAGGCACATTACTAAATTTCGTTCAAAGAAAGGATTCTCCAAAACCAAGTATGTCGTCCGCCCCTTCGAATACAGATGAAGGTGAATATAGCCCACAATCTGCCAGGAAAAAAAAAAAAAAAAAAAAAAAGAGCTTTGCAAGGTACTATATTGCAGACTATTTGACATATGGTTCTGTCCTTTGGCCACAATCATCAGAAGAAAATTGTCCAAAACCTGAATGTGTTGTTTGTAGAGATGTTCTTTCCAACGAAAGCATTATTATGAATTCCGATTATTTCAGTCGCTGTCACTTGAGTACGAGAAGAGTTGACAAGTGGCGCTTCAGGTATGGTAGATAAGGGATCCTCATTCGCCTGTCCCGGACCGTCTCTGAACCATTTTTTATATGCAAGGGTTTTTGTGATTATTTTTTGTAAATATTGTGGGATTTTTCTCAAAGGTGTATGTACTTATGTATGATAATTATACTGATATGGAATAATTACAATATTTATTTATCTTTATATTTAAATATGATTATAGGCCAATGGTAATAAGAATATTACAATTAACTTATATAGTAATTCTGGAATACTTCGTAAAGTATTTTTTTGGGGGGGAGGGGAGGGGGAAAAACAACCGGTCCGCGAAGTTGTTTCGTAAGTTTTACCGATCCGCGGACCAAAAAAGGTTGAGAAGCACTGCTGTAGACAAGATACATCGTAAATGAACACATAACTGTTTCTACAGAGGGCCCACTTTTAAACAGAACATCCTGTACGTATGTGGGAGATTATGTTGTTATTAATTTTCGATTGTGTAGATGAATAATGTACAGAAAGAGCTTAGGCAAACTAATTTTTAGTCTTAATAATAACTATGCTGCTCCAGATCTGGGGAAGATTATCAATTCACGATACTCAAAATTAGGAATATACGATCCACTCGTTAACTGATACAAAGGACCTTAATTTTACTGAGCGAAAGATGCTTTGATAAAATAGAACTGTAGCTCCTTCAAGCGTTCTTATTAAAAGCGCTCCAGGAAAGTTCGATTTCCATTTTAGGGAAAAAAGGAATGGTTCTGTTCCCATGTTAAAAGTGAGTTTGATAAGGGAAAGTTGACAGTTTAATTTTTATCATATCCCCAGCTTTTCGAACATATTTTTATTTCAAAATTTTATTCTTAGTTCTATGTAGAAACGATGTTTTAGGCATTCTTAAAAGTACAGTTCAAAGAAATCAATTCAAGGAGTTAGTTCTTCGATTGAGTCTATTTTTCCGATCCCAAACCTCGTTCTAAATTTTCGCTTTTCACTCCATCCACACATACCGATTTTGATTCACTCTCCTTTTCTTATCTTATACATCAAGGTATTGCTAGTGAGTAGTGAATCATAAAATGGAACCGATTCAGTTCAGTGAAGGATCTGAACCCATGAAAGAGAGGTTTTATCCCCTTTTAGTCGAAATATATATGATTCGAACTGGCTGTATTATCTTTGGAAATGCGTATTTTTTTTTTTTTTAAAGTCAATGATTACTAGAAGTAGAAATTAAATACATAAATAAATAAGGCTGTAAAATAATATACATATATAGAAGCCAAATGTCTGTGTCTATGTCTTATCACTTAGTAAGAGGCAATCGACCATTAACGGCCTTTACCAATGTATTATGCTTGACTTTTAAATGCTTGAGGAATCGAGTAAGTTGTATCCAATAATATGGAAGTACTTGTGCACATGCTATGCTAGAACTCAGAGATTACTAGCGACTTAGGCTCCTGTGCCGCCATCTGTAGAATAAGTAAACTTGAACAAATGAGGCGCTCGTGTGGCGCCATCTATTAGTAAGGATGAAAAGCATTTTAGTTGACTGGAGATCTGGTTGCGCCATCTCTTGCAGGATGCATTGTAAGGCATTTTTAAAATTTCATAAAAATTATTCTTCTGATAAGCAATAATTGGAAAGTGAAATGATGAAAAACACAATTTGCTGTACATTGAAACGTTTCACAAGAGTAAAAACTATTTACGTACAAAGTTTACCTGCTTTGGCAGGAACAAAGTCCATAGCGCATTGTAATTTGATAAGTAAATCTATATGTAAAGAAAATGGAGTAAAATCTTGGCTAAAATAGGAAGAAAACAAAAATATATACGTTACCACCGACTATTATGGTGAATAGTGCGGGGTCTCGTGTAGCGTTGCTCAACTGTGAAATCATAATTTTTTAGTTTTTTGATGATATTCTTAGAATGACTGTCACATTTCATAAAAAAGTTGTGAGAAGCTTTTAGAATTTCAGAATCCGTGGGTTTAATTTTTAAGTCATTGTGAAGTGCTGTTTTGTATGAACCAAAGCGCATTTGTAATTATTCGGATGGCCTTGTTTTGAATTCTTTGCACTTTTTTGCGATGAGTTCTTGCAGTTGCACACCACGCTGGGGAAGCATACAGTAAAATCGGGCGGATAGGTTACAGATAAATAACTCTTTTTGTAGCGAGACTAAGTTTAGAATTTCTCCCTATGAGTGCATAGATACTGCCTATTGCTTGGTTGGCTTTTTTACAGATATTTTCGATATGGTTTTTGAAGGTTAGTTTTTGATCGAGATCAACGCCTAAATATTTAACACATTTTTCATTTGGGATGGAGATATTATTAATTGTGATATTGTTGAGATGTCTTCTGGAAGGAATCTTTTGGAAATATGTTGTAGTGGATTTGCTTTCATTGATTTTAATTTTCCAAACGTTAAACCATGGGAAGATATAGTATATTGCATTTTGGAGGTTTTGCATGGTCTTTGCGGATTGATGGATTTGCTGAGAATTGCAGTATCGTCTGCATAGCAGGCGATATTGCAATTCTCAGTATCGCCTGCTATGCAGACGATACTGCAATTCTCAGCATACTGCAATATAGCATAAGATAATGGCATCTTTGTGGCTGGGAAGATCATTTATGTAGATGTTTAAAAGAAAAGGTGAAAAATTTGAGCCCTGAGGGACACCTGCTTTCATTACACTGATATTAGATAGCTCGTTCTTAATACGAACTTGAAAAGTTCTGTTTTCCAAAAAACTTGAAATTAGTAGGATTAATTCAGGTGGAAATTTGTTTCCGACAAGTTTGATAAGGAGCCATGGGTGCCAAACCTTATCAAACGCTTTTTCAATATCAATGAAGATGCCAGCAACCGTTTCTTTTTTATTAAAGGCTTCACCGATGATTTCAGTAATTCTTGTAACTTGTTGGGTGGTGCTAAATCCATGTCTAAATCCAAATTGATGTTCCTTAATAATATTATTGTGTTCAGCCAATTTAGTGAGCCTATTGATGACTAATCTTTCAAACAGCTTTAGAAGCCAAATATTTTTAAACTGGTAACTGTATCCTTAAATAATATTTATAGAGTGGTAATCTTGAAAAAATAATTCATTTTGTTCGCTACTCTTTCAGAGGAAATATTCTAAATCAACCTATGTATAAACCTGGATTACCGTGCACTGGCTGCCCATCGAACTCTTGCTGTGGCTATGGATGCAAACATGTTGTTTATCCAGGTCTATGCCGTAAGTTTCTGAAAATTCAACATCCCATTTTACATCCAATAGTAATAAATATAATGGCAATGTATAACAACAGTATGGATACAAAAATCTGGAATAAATTATCGTATTTAATAGCAAATATGAAATTTCCAATCGAAGCATTCATAGCATAAGTATTATTTGCTTTCATACTATCTACATTTATGACTAGGCTCGACTTAAACTTAGTAAAAATAAAAACTTAGTTACTATAAACTTAGTTATCTTAGCTTCAGAATCGTTGCTCGTTCTTTAACGTGAGTCAGAGAGGTATCATATTACAGTATGTCCTACAGCGAAACGATAAATGGTTTATTAAACTTTAAACTTCATTTAAGAGGAGGTAATCAAATAAAAGCCATTTGCCCGAACTTATACGCATACTGCTGAATGCAGCAAGAAGTTTCAGTAGGATTGTGGGTAATTGCATACTAGAATGACTGTAAGGCAGTGAGAATGAACAGACATGATTTTAATGCAAGACTGCTGCTGCCGAAGTCTAGAAAATGGTTGCTTACAAGATATATCTGATGAATGGTACTCTCAGTAGCACTGCAGCAGCATCAGTAAAGGTGTGGAAGCATCAGATGGCGAGCAGTCTGAGGTAAAGTGAGTTTGGTGGGTATTGCGGCTTGGAAGACTTCACTTTCCATTAGCACTATCTCATATTACTGTTATTACACGGTGGGATGAAATGAGTAGGTACATTTTTAATTCCCAGTGCAGATCTATTTCAACTAATAAAAGTAAATTGTAGATAACAAAAAATGCTTTGCTAAAACAAACTTTATTACATTAGATATTTATTGATCTTAGATATACATTCTCGTTACAAATCAATGCTTAATACTTTTTCTCCTTTTTCTTTAGTAAATAATTGAATCTAAACTTTATATTTTCAATAAACTTCAAACGAAATATCAGTACATTAAATGTCTCGAACTTCCTTTTTTATTAACTTCGAATGATTGGACGTGTACCTTACGATATATTTGAAAACTTAATATCTGGATAAACTAGCCTCTTTTATCTGCACAGATGTATTTGTTTTTATTTTATATAGTATTCTTCCACGACTATGGCTGAATAAGTTCTTTGAATTATAATCTTTATTTAAGATAATGTTTTAAAAACCTTTGATCGAAGAAGAGGAGGAGGAGAGGAAAAAAAAAAAAAAAAGAATTTTTGCACTTACGAATCCAAAATATTAATTTTTATATTTCTACTTACATAAATGTAAAAACTAAGTGGAGTCAAGGCATAGCTAGTCGGGGACAAGAGAAGACATTTGCCCCCCCCCCCCCCGGCGCAGGATCTAGTGGGCGCCAAACTGATGCTACGAATTTTCAGAATGAAATATTTTCCATTCACAGGAGTTCACAGGAATGTTTTCCAAACAGAAGGGGCATGAGATCTTCAGTTCTTCCCTGGCGCTAAAAACCCTAGCTACAGCTCTGAGCGGAGTTATGAAATAATCTCTTCCTTCGGTTTCTATCATAATTTCAAAATATACTTTTCTTTCCTTTAAGCAAAAATTTTACAAAATAGACTCACGAATAGACATTGGCAATCAAATGTAATGCAAAATTCTAGAACTCGGATTCTGCTAATTCTCGAAATTCGACAAAATGAAATTCGAACAAAATGTGGGATTCTCAGAATTCGAATATAATGTCGTATTCTCGGAACATTTGTGGTTTAATTCCTTAGTTTTCGTTCACGTTATGGCTTAAATTACTATTGTGAAAGACATAAATTCTAAACACCTTCATGCTTTGTTCCTGCATTTTAATTCGTTCGTGCTAATCTCGGTATAATGATCTGAGCAAATGCCGATCACAGGAGAAACTTGCTTATAACTGATACCCGTCCTCATATATAGTATATGCATACTTCCCATAGAAATCTTAAATTCCATTGTTTATTATCAGCAGGGAATAACATGTGCTTTAATTACAATAAAACGTTTAGACAGTTGCATATTTTCCACAATAAAAAGAAAATACAAATGCAGAGATGCTAATGCAGTCATAAGCATTAAAGTTACTATAGGAAAGTAGTGGTTTTAAGTGGGCGAGGGAATTTAGGGTGAAGGACCAGGCCGCCGAGTAGAATAATTTGAATGTTTTAGAATATAAAAAACAATGTGCGTAGATAGCTTGCGTAGTTAGCGTAATCAGAAACAAGATGCGCTTATTAGCGATTGAGTTTAATTATTTATTTTGAAGTGAATAGGAACAATTATTACAGAGAGTACATTTTGTAAGGAAGCATTCTTAAAATCCTGGAATATGCCAGTTTCCAATTCTCAAAAACTAAAAATTTACATTATTTTTATGTTGCCAGATCTAACAGATTAATATAATAAATAAAACAACAAACTTTTTCCAGTTTTTTCATTGGGAATAAATGCACAATAACAAAATTGCGACGGGAAAAAGCTCCGTCGGCCAAACGATAAAGTTGCAAGTATGGAACAAGCATCTTTGCAAAACATTCTTCTGTCATGATTTCGTTATTTGGGGGTTTTAGCGGAATGTGCGAAAGATATTTAGCCCAAGACCCGAAGTACAGTTGGCCCCGAGATAAGCATAAAATGTTTATTGTAGAACTTTGGAATTCAAGTCATAGTTCATCGCAGAAGCTCCTGCGTAATTCATTCTCTCGCAAAAATGCTGCGCACATCTCCGGTGAATTTTTAAAATTCTGCTATTTTTTTTAACAAGTTGTCTTGCTAGAACTTCTGCCTTACAACATTCTCCCTTTGTATCACGAGTTTTTTCGCTTTTAAATAACGAGTTTCTGTTTACTCTGTATGATATTTGCGCACATACTTTTAGTCAAAAACGGAGTACTCGACTACTGTTAGCAGTAAAATCTCAATGGTGTGGCTTATTCTGAAAAATACAAAATTTCAGTTAATAAACAGATAAAGAAATTTAACATAACAATTAGCGAAATTAAGTAAAAATTTATGGCTGAGTACTATTTCACGGGAGTTTAGTTAACATCATCAAAACATTGCTGCTATACAATGATGCACGTAGTAGAAGTTGTAATGCTCTAGAGGGAGACTCGAATGCTTGGTGTCTATTGTTTATCCTTATTAGCAGCAAAGTTACAGACAAACCTTTCGAAAATTGCTATGTGGGGTTCCATCCTTTTAACTAGCAACTAAGCGTGGAGGAACCTAATGAACAGCTAAGCGAATAATCGCTTTAGTTCAGGAACAGAGACTTGAACTCGAGAAGGGTTAATTACCTTTTACTTCTCAAAATAAGAGTTAAACAGTCGACCCCTTTCCCAGGGTGTACAGCAAAGCCTCCACTTGGGCTTGAACTCAAAATAATAAGAACTAAGACTTAACTAAAAAGATATAGCCGAAGCTATCAAAATTCTAAGTAGTTGGCCCCTAAATATCGAATAAGCTAGATCAAGGGTCCGAAATACGGCCGAGCGTAGTAACAGCTTAGAGAAAGTAGCCAGAAGGCGAACTCGCGCTAGTCAGAAACTCTGAGGTTCTCTATCGAAGTCCTGGGTCATCGCTTGTGTAAGTGGTGTACGACCTAACTGGTCTTTACCACTTTATTTCTGTCCTAAAACGGAAAAGCATAAGTAATGAATAAAAAAACTGGAGTAAAAACCAGCGAAGAATAGCGTCCATTCTTGGCTGAGGCCCCAAATGGCGGACGGCGAGCCGTGCTAAGCCCGATCTCATGATCTCAAAGACTTGGCTTTACCCACTCGGCTATGAATCGTCGAGCAATTTTGGCGTCTTGAGCAAAATTCAGCATAAGTTCTACAGTTCTGAAAGCGACGAGAAGTTTATCTGCAGTATTTTTGGCATTTTTAATTTGATGAGCTAGAATGGAGATGTTATTAATTAGCTTGAGGATCTTGAAAGATTTGTATGATTTGTGGAATTTCTGGAACCTGTTCTTCTTCGAATTTATTTTTCTTTAGTGCTTCACCGTAAGAGATTTTGTAAAATTTTCTGGAGTAGATGGAATAGTGAAATTAGGAAAGTCTTCTTTTTTAGGTGGAGATGATTTGTTTTCTGTTTGGTTTATTTTTCGGAATCGCTACTGATAAACTTTACAACCACGGTAGGAACTTACGTAAGATTCTGAAAAGAAGATGCATTTAGGTTTTTCGTTTGGTTGAAGCTGGCATATATTGCTCCTACGGTTTTTTGTGCATTTTACGCAGAAGTACTGGTTTATAGCAGTTGGCCTGTGAATGTCCAAACTCTTAACAATTGTAACATTGTATTGATCCTTTGAGCGCTATCAAAGTCAGTGGAACTTCGACTTAAATGCCACTCTTACTCATTTGCATTAAACGCGATTCTAAAACACATTGTGGTAGGAAATTGTAAGCTGAAATTAGGAAAGACAGAAAAGTAGCTTTAACTAAAATTAACTGTTACAAACTTAGAATAAACTTTACAGCTAAGTCCTTAAATGCGATGGCAGAATAGAATAACTTCCACGGAACAAAATGGACTTTGCTCGAAATTTTGTATAATTCAACACTAAACAGAAGTAAGTACACATTTATAGAATTAATATCAAATACTTATAGTCTTGTAACAATGTGATGTGTTTATTTCAAACTTCTTACACTTACTTTTCCATAAATCAGGGGAGAGAATAACTGATTTCAAAATACAGTACTTCAAGTTATAAACCATATATGTACTCTAAATTTCTCTTTTTTTAGAAATGAAAAACCCATATGAAGCTCCCATCTACCCACCTGAAGGAAAATATTTGTTTTCCTGTAAATTCGTGTCTCTGGATGGTGATTGCAAGTTTAGTACAACACCGGGTAATCGTTGGAGCATCCGAAATACACTAAGTGGTAATAAAGCTTATTCTTTTTTCCAAAATTATATAAGTATTTTCATTTTGGGTGAAACTGTTTATAGTAATAAAAATTTTTAATTTGAATATTAACGCAGAAAGTGGAAATAGTGTGTATGACTATCTGCTCCTTGGTTGACTACCCTCTTCCTTACAGCGCCGGATCTTTGATTTTTCTGATGTGGGGCAAAAACTAAAACTGCCGCCTTCACCCATCATCCTTTAAGTTTCTCTAAAAAGTTTTAATTTCTTTAATAAATACAGAAATAGGTACGGTTTGAGGTAAAAACCTAACCTCCATTTTATACTAAATTCTTAATGTGCCCTTTTTACTTCCTTGTACGAAGTAAAAAGGAAGTATTGTAATCGCGAAAAGCTCCAGGCAGCATATTTCAACGAAAATATCCACTTCGACAGCTTTTGAATGCAATTTAACGATGTTTTTGCGTGATATCTGTACGTAAGGACAGAAAAGACTCGTTTCCTCCAAAAAAATTATAAAACTGCTTTAAAATTAATTCTGAAGAGAATTTTTCGTGGCGTCTGTACGAACGTACGTACGTATCCCGCATAACTCAAAAACGAGTAGCCTCAGAACGTTGAAATTTTGCTACTATAACATGTAGATACGCACCTCATATTTTGGTTTCAATCGGCCGTGCCAAACGTATATAAATATATTTATAAATATATCCACTCTGTTACCCGGCTCAGTGATCTCAGTTTCTATACTCTTATATGTTTGTAAATTGTTACATTTTTTGCTTTAAAATGATTGAATTATGTTGTTTTTTTATCTTCCGGTTTAAGGTTTTTATGCCTTTCGTAAATATGTATGCAATATTTTTAGAACTATCAACAATTTTAAAATTGTTTAAAGTGCCGCTAAGCCTAATTTGATGGCTGCCATTGCTCTTGTTTACATTTGAAACAGCTGAGTAGCGGATTTGTTGCCAATCTAGAGAAACTTAGCTTCGCAACAACAAAGATAACGCCTTCATTTATTATTTAAATCATGCTTAATCCTTTCTGGAATTTTTTTCGAGGAAATAAGCGTCTAAGATTTACTTCGTAATTTTTAATACAGATATTTTGAGTTTTTATGTATTTTTGCCTTGTCGCGAAGTGTAAACTGAATTAATTGAATGAGAAATACTCAATCGTCTGTGAAAAACTGTTTCTTTTTTGTTTTGCTTGCTTAATTTCTTTTATACATAGTTCTTACTTTATTATAGTATTTGAATAGAACATGTGGCAACGATTAGATAATTCTTTAAATGATATAAATTTTGTGAATTCTGAGTTATAATATAAACGAAATATAATACTGTTAAGTAAACCTAGCGTCAGAGTGTTGCTATGGTAAACAAAGTGAATTTTAAAGAATGCATTTATTCTATTGTGGTTTATGCGCTGTCGGCGAAGTAGGTTTAATTCAATCTAATAAGTTTAAATAAATGCAAAGAAAAATGCGTATATTTAATATCCGTACAAGGAAGTCATGTGGTGTACACATCAGATTTTTTTTTTGGCTATAAAGGAAAAAAAAAAACGTAACAGAGTTACATAATTAGAAATTCTTCCTCTCCCTAGGAGAATCGCCTTTCTGGTGAGCTTACTTTCGGTTTCAAGCCTTGTCTTAACTCTAATCCTGAATGCTTCTAACCCTCCAGTCTTCGCCACCATTCGTTTTCCGTTCTAGAGACAACGGGCAAACCCTAAGCTTCTCACTATTCCGTATTATTGCATTACTGATTAAATTAGGTTGGGTTAGATTATATGAATATGGCAAAGACAGGAGGGCTACCTGCTTAAAGGAGAGGTGCTTTCGTTGGGAACGTTTTAAGGAAACTGGCTCGTATTCACATTACCATGAGGAAATCCACGAAGAGAAACCATGCAGCCAGCCTGTTCTTTTGGGTTTGAACCCAGGCAAGGTCGAACTACCAGTATTCAGCGGTCTTAATCACTCGGCCACTGCTCAGGACATTTGTTTGATTATTTACTATGTGTTTCGCCATTAGGCACTGCATGGAAAGGGAGGAATGCCTTGTGGAAAATATTTTTATGGAGACTGACTGGTATCTGCTTATAGGAGAAATGCTTTCGTGGAGGAACTTTTTAAAGGAACCGGCCCGTATTCACGTTACACATGATGAAATCTACGAAAACAAACCATGTAGCCAGCCCGTTCGCCTGGGTTTGAACCCAGGCAAGGTCGAACTACCAGTATACAGCGATCTTAATCACTCGGCCACTGCTGAGGACATTTGTCTGATTATTACCTATGTGCTTCGTCATTAGGCTCTGCATGGAAAAGGAGGAATATCCCATAGAAACAACTTTGTAAGGAAAACTGGCTTGTATCTATGTTTCACACGGCGAAAATTACGGAAATACTCATACAGCCAGCCCATTCACCTATACTTAACCCTCGGACGGAACTACTAGTGCTCAGCAGCTTTTATTGCTCAGCCACTAATGGAACCATTGCATATAAAATATGGGCTATTGCCGAAAGGAAGTATTCTGAAACGATTATACAGAATATGGGCTATTACTGAGAGTATTCGTGCTTCCTGTCTTGTTTTTCATACTTTCTATTTAATAAGTAATTTTAAGTTCTTACCTGCCGCCTTAACGCTATTAAAATATCACGGAATTAGTAACGAAAATTAAAATTTTACACTGTAAGCCTTTTGTTCTGTAAATGAGTGCATGGAATCGTCATAATTAGATCTGCGGTTTGATTTCCGGTTGCCGGAATCGCGAGACTTGATAAACGCTCTTGCTCACCGATGATCGGAGATATTTTTTTAATATGTTTTAATTTGCTGAAACTTCGATCTGAATAAGTTGAAGTGTTCGTCATTTGTCCTCAAACAGTTCATCAGATTACTTTTTGTGCTTTGTAATTCTTTCCTTGTCAGAATAGACTCAACTGCAATTTTTTCGGGTACTGTTTGACTATGGTATCCAATATTCCATAGGATTTTTCAATATTTATAATTCCTCAGTTTGGGTCAGTTCTTTCGTTAACTACACAGGATCGCGGAAGATGAATTCCTTTTGAATTTTCTATATTTATTCGATTGAATTCTGGAAACATATTAGCTCAAATTTACAGGTTGATAGTAAATTCAAATTTTTCACAGCATGTACCAGATGCCCTACCTCGTGCTTTGATTCCGCATCAAGAGAAATATCTTCAAGTTCTTATAAATATTTGAATATTTCCGGTAAATTCATTAGAAGGACTTTCACAGCCACATATTTTTCCGACCATCTCGTCTAGCTGCTTCCTTTTAAGTTGTATTTTGTACATTTTTTAATAATATACTGTCGAGTAGTGCATCCGTCAAAAAAGGGAAGTATTTTCTGAGTAATTCCAAACAGATTAACTGCTTTTGGGCACGCAGAAGCAGAATGCATACTGACAAAATACGAGGAGTAAGCCATACATGGCACAAATTCATCCAGCTTATTTATTTCTGTAATTCTAGCGTGTACTGTTTTAGAAATGCCAGCCATATTAGACCCTTTGTCGTAAGACTGACACCGACATTGTCCAATATATAAACCATCAAGTGTTAATTAAGACACTAATTTTCTACAATGCGTTCAGAAATACATTCTCCTATCTTTCCACCAACTTCTATAAAATCAATTAAATTTTCCTTTATCTCACACAATCACCACACGTTTTTACGTATTGAGTCACCTGGTTCATTTTTTTCGGTATGAGACACATATGGGGTAAATAGATTCCTTTGTTAGGTGCTTGTACTTAAGAGTTGAATTATGTTTGGCAAGTGGAGAGATTACATTCAGAAAATTTCCTTCGCTAGGTCGAGGACACTTTGTGAATCGGCTACTTGGGATTTCATCAGCCCCAAGAAAAGAACGACAGATTTTTGAAAGATATAGTACCGCATCCATGACTATACAGAATTTTATTCATTTTTCTGTCTCCGTATAAATGAGTCGATCGATGCTTTGGCACGATTTCATTTGTTGTATTCGAATTTTCCACTTAATCATGCACCTCTATGGATTCCAGACGCTTCGCGCTCAGTTAATCTTGCTAAAACGTTTTTCCAATTAATGAATCCTGTTGTTTGGTGTAACGGTAGCACCATGTTTCTGATAAATCTTGCAGGGTGTACAAAAAATTGCATTCTTGTTTTTAGAATATGTAAACCAATATCTAAGCTTTTTATTATTTACTAATATTCTGTATAACAAGTCAAATGTCTGCCATGACGTTCAATGGGATAGAGGTTTACGTTTTCCCGGATGTTTACCGGCTAATAATACTGATTGACTGCTTAAGAAAGATTGTTGGTGACCGTTAATTTTTTTTTTTTATGACCAGCCAACTGCATGCGTCCAACAATCCAAAAATTTTTAGTTTTTCGTCTTTCTGCTGCCCACTCCCATCTCAATGAAGAGATCTTTATATCATGGTTTCATGTCCTCCAGCTATTCGTTTGATGTCGATGAAGAAGTTTATTCTTTCAAATGCTGACTTGTAGATTGTTTGGGGATGATATATGCCGTCATGTTTGGTCCTACAAATTGCAAGAAATATTAATTCCCTATAGAATCTCAGCAAAATCGGAACTGCAGCAAGATCTGACGGTTTACTTCTTCCGTGAAGTTATTTTTTCATCTTAGCTGAAATTTGTTTTCTCTGTTTGGCCTTATCTTTGGGTCGTTTTCTGTATTCCGCTTTTATCCCTCTCGACGCGCAGATGATTTCTTTTAATCTAAATGAAATTCACTATCAATTGCTTTAATAAGAATAACTAAGAATTGACATAATTACACTGAACAGTCCTAAATAAATGGTCATGTGTTGCTAAATATAGTGCGGGCTATTAAAAGCAAGCATATCTTAAAAAAAAAAAAAAAAAAAAAAAAAAAAAAAAAAAACACCCGACCACCTTAGAAATAATAAATCTAGCTTTAAAATCCAACATGCGTTCCACCGGTCCGAGTCAAACCAAAGGTGAGCCTAAGTTGCCAACTGGCTGCAAAAAAATCTAAATGCCTTGCTTCAGCTTCAAGACATAATATCTGTGTCTTGTATATGCTCGATAAATCAGGATGGCCCAAAGTTAATTTTTTGGGTTAGCTTTTAAAAAACAGTTACAACGCTTCTCCATTACCCAGCAGACGTTGCTATGGGAACCAAGTGACTTCTTCTATCTATCGTTCTATTTATTATTTGAATACGCCCGGCCTAGACAGCAAATGATGCAGGGACTCAAGATGTTACTGTTAGGATCAGTCTGATTCTATCAGCAACGCCTGGAGTCCCTCTATTGGCCCTTTCGATCTGTAGTTATAGTTGTAATCGGTACTTTATTTTACCTCATGTTCTTTAAAAGGTTCTTAGTATTTAATTATAAATCTTCTTAAAAGAGGTTTTTAAACTTGGCTTTAAAACTATTACATGTTCTAAATTAGAGAGCTGTTTTTAGGCACATACCAAAACGATCCAGCGTTATATTTGAATTTGCCGCCCTCAAAAGTTGCCGCCCGGGGCAAGAACCCCGGCTTGCCCTCCGCTAGATCTGGGACTGCTTCCTTATGTCTCGTCCACTTCTAACAAAGTGGCAGAAGATACGAATAACAAACACTAAGAGTTTTATGCCAAGTTCAATTCGTGGCAATGAGACAGACAGGCTACATGAATATCCACTTGTGTAGTGACAGCCGGTTTCTCTAAAACTTAGTCCATGTTCAAGTCTACTTCAAAAGTGTCCCTAAGCAGATATTTCTTAGAGTGCATAAGAAGCTATTTCTTTTTCATTACCAATTTATAAACCAATTATCTAATCTTCATGACGAAATAAAAAAAGCTCCTAAACGGCTCGATGCTAGCAAATTTTTGATTGTATCATGAGACTTCGGTTAACAACACTTTAGTTCAGATAAACGGAATTCTACTGAATGTTATTAGCCGCATCTAAACTCAAATGCAAAGCTTATTGATGCAACTTTTGTGGAAGCTTCGTGACATCCACGCCTAAATTTTCAATGATGCAAAATCAGTTAGCTTCGATAAGAAATTCGTGCCTATGGGCCATACAGAAATATCTGGTTGTAGCGAAAGTTTTGTTGAACTTTGTTTTAAATAAGAAGGTACGGGATTTCTCTTGAATTTTGAGAATTTTCTGCGAGGAAAGGATTACTAAATAAGTGATAATCAGATATGCACTTAAATGTAAATCATTAAAAGTTGATGTTGCAGTAAGAAAGAAGAAAGAAGTTGCCCCTTCCTTCCTTATGAGGAAAAATAGAGACAGAGAAAGGAAGTATTAATAAAAAGAAAGTATCTGGTTGTAACCGAAAATTTTCCGCCAAAAAAAGTTCTTAATAAAGTTAGAAAAAAAAAAAAAAAAAAAAGAGAGAGAGAGAGAGAGAGACACGACAGCAGTGCTTTTAGTGCAGGTAGTAATCACCACACAAATCTGTGATTTTCTGTCAAGGTTTTGGTAGTTTTTCAAAGACTTCGGCCCAGAAAACTTGGTGGCTGCGAGTCCCAAATCAGATCAACCTTATTTCAGACGTCCTGCGCAGAATGGAAGTTAGCACCGGAAGATGTTACTGCAGGTGTAAAGGCAGAAGTCCGAAAGAGCGATGTCGGGGCTATATGATGAGTGTGGCAAAAGATCCCATTCGAGTCCGTACAGAGTCCAGCTGGTGAACGCAGACACAAGTGATCTTGCATTATCCGCATGGAACCTTACTTTTTTGCGCAAACACTCAGTTCGACGTTTTTCCTTGATAGCAGCGTCAACCGGACTAACATTTCGCTGTACACCTTACTGTCGAGGGTTTTACCTTTTTTCTAGGTACTCTTTGTGGTTAATTCGACGGCATTTCCACCAGACACAAAGCATGATGTTAGTCAAAATGCTCTTTGCGACGCTGCTGATGGGTTCACTGGGCGCAGACTGACCTCCTTTTCCACTTGTGTTGTTGAAGTAAATTCACGTTTCGTCACAAGTGACGATCCAGTCCAGAATATTGTCCTTGCGTTGATATTCGAGCAGATTAGTGCAGGCCCGAACACGTCTGTCATTTGCTTGACCCATTACATGCGGCAGCCAGTGATTGAACTTGCAGATTAAATTTATGCGACGCATAGCGCCAACTAATGGATATGGCACCAACATCTAACTCCTCAGCAAACTCTCGAATGGTTGCATATTGATCATCTTCCATGAGTTCTCGCAGGCCTGCTTCATCAACATCAGTAGGCCGGGTACAGCACTCTGCTTCTTGAATGCCATAGTCCTTGTTTTTGAACTCTTTCGGTACCAAACCTTCATAGTGTTATATTAGTACCTAAATCTGTACACATGATTTGGTGACACTCTGTAGCTGACTTTTTGCATCAGAACTGGAAGTAAATGATGGGTCCAATCTGGTAGTGATAGTTCCATTTCAGGCACCTTGTATTTAATGATAACGACATCTTTTTACAAATTTCACAATACAGAATTCTAAAGCAAGTCTCTTTCCATTAAATGCCAAAAATCGTTTGAAAGTAAAATTACTTTAATGAAGACTGAAACTTTTTTATGGTAAGAAATAACAGGTTACAACATCAATTATTAAATAAGTCTTCAAATTTTATTTATTAAAAGTGTGATGATTAATTCTTCTAAGTTTTTGAGAGATTTTTTTTTCCTTTTCACGCACAACTTACTTACTTTTACATCAACTGAAATAGAGGCTCAGCAGTACCTGAAAGTTTCCCCAAATCATTGCTAGTGCACAGTAGCCAAGAAACGAATTAAATGTTTTTCCTCTTTGTTGGCAAATCAGCTGTCAGTGGCCACTGATAGGTATTAATTAACCGTCATTGATGTTGTTAACTAGTAATTCTTAATTACCTAGACATTCGAATTTTGGGGGGATATGTGATATAAATAACCATATAAGTTCATTTCATAAAAAACTAAGAAGCTTATACAATATTATTCATTTCTTTCATTCAATGTCTTTAATCAACACAAATAATAATTTTTTATATTGTGTTATGCACATAAAATGTCTTAGAAGCTATTTTATGTATGAATTTTATTTCAATATTCTAACTGATATTAAGGATATCAATTCATTAATAAGCAAAATGCTGTTTTTTAATTCAAGTAAAAGAATTCGTAATTTCAATTTTTCCTACAGACGAGCAAAATGAAAAACTGAGACATGATGCAGAAATATTACTGTATATCTAATACTATATTGAAAACTGAGTTTTTTGACACATTATGTTAATATGGAAATGTACTTCTACATGGTAAATTCATTTTGAATAATACTACTTGTATCCTGAGTATGCATTAGTTACTTTACATTTCCTAATTTTCAGGCAAGTACGTAGGTGTGACTCTTCCTGGAGGCTCAAAAGCTAATATAGACTTCAGCAAGCCGATCAAAGCAAAGAGTAATACTTTTTGTATCATTATAAATTACAGAAAAGGTCCGACAATAGCTGGTAAAGCAGATACCATTAAAGTAAAGGTTCATCTTGAGGCGAAAGGCCTCAAAACTAATGACATATCTTTAGAACCAGAAACGGGCCCAGATTTCTTCAGGCATACTTTGTTTGCTCCGTGGAATGCTGAAACTAAGGTTAGTAATTCGGTCAAGTTATTCACTGAATACGCTGCTGTAACATCAAATTTAAGAATCTTTTTATTGCTAAATGCATGGTACATTTGAATACGCACTGGTGTAATAGCAACATAAGCTCACATATGGGTGCTATAAATATAGGATTGCATCTCTTTCAGCCAGTGTCATATGTGTTGTCACAAGCATTTTATGAATTCTGAAATTTGGATGTTTTCGCTCTGCACTTATTTACATCTTAATAATTTTGGTACATTCATGGCACTAAATATATCTACACAGTTATACAACTATGCAGCATGCTATCTTATTCCAAATGACGCTCTGAATTCTAATTAAAGAAAAAAAATCCATGCTGCTATTACATGGAAAGAAATTAATTATATAGAATTACAATAAACAAATGTGTATGTATATGTATCAGAACTTAAAGTTTTTGAATCCCTGGATAACATTTGCAAGTTTTAATTATGATTATTTTAAACATTATAAAAATATAATATGAGCCACTAATATAATTCATTCTTATTTTAGAACATATTAAGTTTTTTTTTTTAATGTTTGTTTTATATGTAAAATATCTGAAAGATGAAAACAGGTTCCTAATTAACAAAAAACCCTATTTTAAAGATAAATTATATTTTTGCTGCAATCACATTCTTCTTGTCAATTTCAGTTCAAAGAAAAGAGACAAAAGCAAAAGAAAAGTCCTGCAGTCAGCAGTTTTTCTAGCCTTTTCTTTGCAGAATTTTCCATTGCCTTTTAAGATGGGTGGATAGAAAACTTTGCCATTGTTTCTTAGTCTTATGCAGTTCACACATTGATGAGAACCTCTTCTCTTACTTAAATTTTGTGCAAACATTAGTTAAGAATACACACTGTGAAAAAATTTGAAAATACTTTTACTCAGCATCAAGAGACACTTTTTTACAGAAAATATCAGATGATTTAATATAATCTTAAATTGTTTCATAACGGCAAAAGCATACAGTATTTTCCAGGAAAGTGTTTAAACTATCCCTCCCCCTTTTTGTTCAAACATAGTCAAATTTTATATGAAGTAATACATGCTTATAATTAGAAGTTTTATTTACATAAAAATTCTAATAAAAATTACAAAATATTTGTATTTCTATGAGGAAATATATTTTCTACAAATTCCCATCTGTTGATACATGTATTTTGCAACACCTTTCTTTTTTTTTTTTCCAGATTTCTATTATTCTTTCTGTGCCAGTGAGTTCACAACCTCAGTACTTTGACCTGCAGAGTATCTTTGCTCAGGAAGGCAAATGCAAGTAACTTGTTTAAACAGTGCATACAGATCTAGATTGTTTTGATGATTTCCCATCGTATATTATCACATGCCATTCGGAATTCGTATCTGAAATGTTGAGAACTGACATCTCCTGTAATGAAAAATTACCAATCATTCATAAACATTTAACATTTTTATCATTTTATGGTAAAGCAATGAGCTTATATCAGGACTGAAACACATGAATCTTTGAAAAATTGCATAATTTGTAATTAACTATCTGAGTGGTACTGCTCATGAAGACCTGCATTTAAACAGTTTTATTAGATAAATTTGTATAGTTACTTATTATCTATTTTCATAAACTTACATTCATTAAGATGATATTTACACCATTAAAGAAATTAAGAAAGAAAAATATTTTAAAATTATATGCTGATATACCCCCCCTCCAATTTACAAGATAAGGGCGGCCATGCCACTCAGGTGCTTAACTCATACCAGGAATTAAAATGAATGTAATTGATTCTACACTACAGCTTATTTTGCATTTAATAAAAAGTGCAAGAGTATTTTCTGATAATCTGCACCTTTCTCTAAAAAGCTGTCAACTCAATGGGAACTAATTTTTCATCACACTAACTCATAAGAGGCAACAATCATTTTGATACTGGTGACACAATAAGAACTCCATAAAAAAGGAAATGAATAAATAAAATTTAAAATACAAGAAACTACGAAAAAACACATTTAAAAAAATCTTTGTCATTTTTTTCCTTTTTGCACTGTTCTGTGCATGTTCATGTATATTTTTGTTAAAAAAATAGAATTGCACAAACTTGGCATTGAATAAGCTGTTCTCCCTGTGCATGTAGTGATCTGTTTTTGATTAAAAAACTGAAAGAATTACACTTCGACATCCCACATTCTAATACTTTGCATAAACTCTTTCACACTGCATTTTGCTAAAATTCAGTTGCAACAATTCAGAATGACTCCACAGAATGTGAATTTTTTCATACTTGACTCTTGGGAGAAATTCCATATTTCTGAAGAAATACAACATTTTCCATTTGGAAAACTCCACAGTCCCATTATGATTTCTTACAAAAAATAAATAAAATAAAATAAAATAAAAAATAAGGATTTTCAAATTTGAAGATGGAATTTCACATTTATCAACTTCATGCATGCACATACTCAAGTTATCATCTAACTGCATTTTGATGAGTCATGGGTTGCCTATTTTGGCAACATAGCATGTTGTCTAGAGAATCATTTTCATGGAAAGGTATATAATCAGAAAGAACCATCTACAGTTTTACAGTGAATTATTTTTTATAGTTTGATATTCAGAAAAGTTTAATTAAAGCGAGTTAAATTTTATGATCGTATCATTTGTACTAAAGTGTGCCCTAGACAAGAATGAAATAACAACATTGTGTGTGTGTGATTATGGCAAAGCCTCGAGGGCTATCTGCCTAAAGGGAGAGGACTTTCTAAGGGAAACTGGTTCATATACATGTTACACATGGGGAAAACCACGAAAACACCCATGCAGAAAGCCCGTTCGCGGGATTCGAACCTCGGACCGAACTACCAGTGTTCAGCAACTTTACCGCTCGGCCGCTTGTGGGCCCCCCACCAAAAACATTGAGACAATAAATACACAAATTTTTTAAACTGTCATGGTTAATAATGTTTCATTTTCTTTAAAATAATAACAGTTCAGTTAAATGTCAAAGCTATTTATACAGTGATAACTTACTTCAGTTATTAAAAACAAAATGGTATACTTTAATAATTAAGAAGTTTATTAAAATAGAATATTATAAATTTGTTCATAAAAGAATTAGCATTTTCATTAAATAATTCATACAAATTCTGACTTTGTGAGAAATGATAGAAATGAATAGAATACTTTAAAAAGCACCAACTGAAAACAAAATAGAAGAAATATGCTTATCAAACCTGAACCTATAATGAAATGCATTATAGTTTTAGATTTTGGTATAAAGACAGACTAAATTTTTTGTCATGAGTTCTGTCTTATATCACTTAAAAATGACTGTGTTAATTTTTTGACTTGATAATGGAAAGTTTTAAAATCAACTAATATATATATATAATTAATATATATACTACTTGTCAAACCTGTTTAAACAATAACGAAATATATTATTGTGTTAAGTTTTGATAAAAGACAGACTAAATTCTGTCTTACATCACTTAAAAATATTGACTATAAAATATATCCATCATATTTATTTTCTACTTTGCCTTAAAAATCTCAGCACATCAACAATGGACCAAGATAATTTTCCAGACATGAAAGTAAACAAATGATGCAAGTAAAAATTATGTAGCTGTGGTCAGAGAACAGGAACAATAATTTGAAGAATGAATATTGGTATGCTTCTATTTTTACTTTTTTGCAGTAAATAACAGAAAAGGAAAGTTTTCAAATATCAACATGCTTCTAATTTTTGACAAAAAAAAAAAAAAAATCTTCACCTGATATACAGCAAGAAAATTTATCTTTTAGAGTTAGAAAGCTTATGAGGCAAGAAAGAAATAAAATAATAATAAATAAATTTAAAATGAAGACTGAAATTAATGCAAAAAATGGATCAAATAAATTATAATGCTTTGTCCGGGAATAGACCACATGATTACACAGATAATAAACATTTTTTTATTATACTGTTAAAATTTCTTTTAGCTTAAAACTCCATTATTCTCTCAGCTGCAACTATGGTGGCACTGTTTTGCTTTAGGATTTTTTCATAATTTTTATTATTAAATGAATTTATTCGAAATAAGGTTTAAATAAATTCGTACATTATTGTTATAAATAAATATTTTGATTCTCCATACCTTTTGCCAACCTCTGCCTATTAATCTTTTTTTCTGGTAATTATATGCTGATACTGCTTTAAAGCAGACTTGTTCTTAGAATGAATTTTATTTCAACTATTAGAATTAATGTTCTAAACTTTTATTAAAATTTTCAAAATAATTCCAGAAATAAATTCACAAAGACAATTATTATGTGAAAATGGGGTCTCATGAAGAGCTGCAATTTTACTTGATCCTTCCATATTTTTTCATTCATTGCAATTTTTCACTTTTTAATTTTTTTTTCTTTTGCCTTCTGGGCTTCTCAACAATGGAGGATTAAATTTTTCATGCAATTTTCTCATTTTATCACATGTATTGTAATGGTATTTGGTACAAAATTAACAGGATTCTGACTTTTTATTTGTTACATATACTGCTTGAAAAAAAAATTGTTCTACACAGATTTATAAATAATATACATTTATTTCTTCATTTTACAATATAACCTTGATAGCTTCTGCACCATACATGCAATAATTGTTTTAATGTTCAAAGAAAATTTTAAAAGTCCATATGTTTATTTTAAACATCATTTACACGAAGACAGGAAACCTTTTTTTTTTTTAATAAACAATCTACGGATGAGGGAAATGCTTAAAAAATACAGTGATTGCTAATTCATATATAAAAAATGATGAGATGAATAATTTGAATAAAGCACGTGAGTCAATAATCTTGCTGTACATATAATCCATAGGCACACTTTCCAGAAACAAATCTACCACCATATCAAGATCATGGTAATTCCAAGAAAGACACTAATAGATTTCCTTCTACTAATGATAGACAGTTGACTTGTAAGCTCTCAAGACAATGATCAATTGATGAAGTGATCTTGCATGCAAATGTTTATTGTTACAGCTTCCTTAAATCTAACACAAATACCTGAAAAAAAGGGGAAAAGAATTAATATGAAAAAAATTATAATATTATAGTGCACAGAAAGAATATGAACAAAAATAATAAATACAAAATGAAAGTAATTATTAACAGAATCTAATATGGTGCATATTAACTATCCACATGTAATTGGTTCTGTAAATGAAATTAAGAATCCATATGCCAGTTCATTCCACAGCATAGGGCAGGATTTCCCAACCCTTTTCTAGCAGTGATCCTCTTTAAAACAATGGTTTTCTACTTCACACTCCCTTACATTTTTTTTATATAATACACAGCATATAGAATAATTGCAATACAAATAATTGCACACAAATAACTTAAAATAACAATTAGACTAAGGATATGAATAAAAGCTTCATAGAAAAGAAAGCTTATAAGATTTATGTTATATTTTTTTTTATTCAGATTTTTAATTGTGCAACTATGAAAAAGTTTTTAGAGATAAAATCACATATTCTAATTTTACAAAAGATCGATTTGAGTTAATGAGACAGTTGCGGCTTGGCATGTTAAATGCAGTTTTTGAATATTTGGCATAAAACTGGTTAACTTGATCAATAAATCACCTCACTCAAAAATACTTAACCTGTATAGTTTTCTGTAGTAAATTATTGACTTAAATAAAGTCTGCTTTCATTTGTTAATTTAGAAAAAGGAAAAGTTAATGATGCTGGTTTGATAATAATTTTTTGGGAGAATATCTCAGATGACTTAAATTCTAAAGTGTACTCATGTGTTTCAAGTAAGTCTTCACTTTGTATGATATAGTTTTACTAATATTTTTTTTTTTTTTTTTTATCATCAATGGGAACTTAATTATGCTAGACAATTGCTGAAGCATATACGGCTATCAATTCTCAGTTGACCTATTGATTCATCATTGACCACCTTTAAAATTCATACAAAATATGCTTCTTTATTAATCAGAAATTTAATTTCTCAAATTTCAAAATGCGTGTAATAATTTAATTGATTTCTAACTCTTTACTGTGCACTTATTACCAGAATAACAAACAAAATGGAATATAATGCTGTTTTAGCAAGTTACTATCATAGCCATGTTACTTTTAGGGCCAGTAATAGTCAACTAGATAGCAGAAAGACAAATATGAAAATAATTAAAAAGTAATGCATTCTTGAATTTTTTCTTTTCTTTTAAATCTCTCAGCTTAATTTTAGCTAGTTTCTCATTGCAGTCTCCTGCTGCTCATTAGATCCCATGCCATTGCTGATCCTTATAATGCACTACTTTTATTCAATCCTTGACTGAGGCTGAAACATGGTTTCAGTAATCACTAAAGAAGCGTTTTTCAAGAAGAAATATTCGGTCCATGCAATTTTAGGAAGAATTTGAAGTCTGATGGACTTCTGTATGCACTTTATGGCATCAGGATTAAACGCACATTCATATTTTGGCAGCTTCTCTCTCAAGCATTAGTTTTCAAAATGAATTACCTCTAAGTCCATATCCCTAAATCCACAGCAGTATGATGTAGGCACAATTTTCCCCTACAGAAACCTATCTTTTTGAGATGATTTTTTGATATCCCAAACAAATATCATTTACTTCACCCATAGATCTACATATCAAAATTTTTTAGGTCAAGCAAAGAATGGATTTATCCTCTGAATTGATGGCGATTTTAAATTTGGTTCTTTTGAAATTCAAAAAAGCCTTTAATGCAAGTTCACTGATACTCATTATTTCAAACAGAAATCTTTCAAATTTATCACCAAATCTTCATTTCAATAACACTACATCAAACAGTGAATGATCCAGCAGGCACAAACCTTTTTTCCAAGCAAAGCTTCTGTCAAAATATGGTATACTTAATCTAGTTGAATCATTGTAGGTTATGTCATTTTCTTAGGTGTTGCTTGACCATCTCATTTCTTCCTTAGACAAATAGAAGTATCCTGACACATTCTTCATGAATACAAGTAACTCAAAAAAGATTGTACTATACCTCATTGCCTGATCAATATGAACTTTATGTTTTATCTTTGTAGTGTAAAATTCTGCTGGGGTTTTGCCACAAATTTTTTTAAATCTAAAGTATGATCTCTGAATTCTTGCAGTTATTTATAAACCCCAGATGCTTACAGACTTCACTTCAAAATGCTGCATTATAGAAAACGCAAATGTGACTTTTTTCTCAGGAAAATAATAGAAATGTTTAAACAACCTGTTCTGCTATTTTAAAATTAAATCTTTCACCTGATCCAACATCAAACAGACATCTATCAAAAAGTATGATGTAGATGAATATTGTATAAAATAATATAGTAAAAGTAGTGCAATACAGTAAAAGAATATACATATTTTACAAATGAAAAGTTTAATTCTTCACTGTTCAACTAACACATAACATTTGTGAATTAACAAGTATTTAATTCCATTAGACATCGATCTTGCATAGCCTACACCTTAAAATTGCTTGGGATTACAATTTGAGATTAGTGCAGGCAGATAGTTTCTCCACACACTTTAACGGAGAAAAGTTTTCAGAATGATACTAGTAACATCATATGACCCACAATGTAGACATATACTTTACTTAATCTTACATAATATTGGGTCAGTGCATAGGACCATGCTTTTCTTCATTGGGTTGGCAACACTGCATTATTGTTCTGCCTTCGTTTTTTGTCATTCAATTATTTCTCTTCAGTGTGAAATTTGATTGTTGTGAAAAGGAGCTTGTATGTTGCTAACTGGCCATTTTCAAAGCTAATTAGTATGTAATGTCAAGTAGAGAAAATGAACACTTCCAACACATTTATCGTCCCTTCTGATTACCACCTTTTCCAATCTCTCTCTGACAACATTCAGGGACAAGAGTTTCATTATGATGCTTCTCTTATGAAGTCTGTTAGCCAATTGCTATTGGCTAACAGACTTCTCAACTTGACACCATAACAGTTCTACAGAAGAGGCACTAACATTTTACCTGAGCACTGGCAGGTGGTCATTGACAAATATGCTTATTACTAAGTGGATGAGTGATTACTGATTTATGACATAGTGCATAATTGTATTGTTTTGTAGTGTATTTTATTATAATAAAATAAAAGCATGGTAAAAATGGCAATATAATGAAGAACGGCATCAACTTATGCACTGACCCAATACATTGAAAAATATCAACAATCAGTAATAAACTTAATTCAGATATCTATTTGAAATACATCTTTTGAAAGAAATCCTGGCTGAATTAAAAGGGTGAGTTTACATGACTGATCATCACATATGTTCTGTCATTCATTTATACTTAATTTGTGAAACTTCATTATTCTTGCTAATTGGAGTTTTAAGGAGGGCATTAATTTAATTTGTATGCCCACCCTACAGCCCTGCTACCTTGTGTATTACTTTTTAAATGAACTATATATATTGCATTAAGATGTGCTGATGATGCACCTCAAATATTGCTATGCTTAATTACAAATACGTAATTAAGCATAGCAATCTTCTTGCACTGGCAAAAATTAGTGGAAGGCTGAATTTAAAAATTTCCTCAGAGCTGAATTCTGAAAATTTTAGTATTTTTTGAATACTTTAGTATCTTAAAAAAAAAAAAAAAAAAAAAAAAAAAAAATCACTATTAATATTTTAAAATAAAACAAAATTTTAAATCTGCATTTAGAAAATAACAAATTTGAGGATACAATTTTTAAAATTATACATTAATTAAAAAGAGACAAAGGAAATTGAATAATTAAAATTCTTGAGGCTAAATTTTTTCAACATAATTTGACAAATGCACTTGAGTAACAAATATGCTTCAAAATCTGGTACCCGAAGTAATAAATTATCTATGTCCCAATTTATTAAAATTATTCTAGAGTTTGTTTTGAGAAAGAGCAATGCACCAATTACTTGAAAATTGAAAAAATATATTTCTCTTCTTCCATCTCTACTAATGAAAAAGAATAACACTAATCTTTATAAATTAATACATAGAATTACTAACTACTCTTATGTAAGATACAAATGATGTCAAAGGACTAGGATTTCAGTTTCTCAATTTGAAATCTTTTTGATGATTTATAGATGTGAGGATTGCTATGTCCTACCCTTAGATAACAACAAAATTGAATTGAAAATCTATTTCACATCTAATGAATTAATTCAATTATTTACAGCTAGGCTTGATCTCAATATGTTAATCCTTGTATTAATTGTTGGGGGGGGGGAAATCTGAAGCATCATTTTTAGTAAAAAAAAAAAAAAAAAAAATCCCCTTGAATCTGCAGTGCACATTATTGCCTGTCTCTTATGCTATTCTTTTATTTTTATTCTTCCCATAAAAATACATTAAAAAATCTTACTTGTAATACCAAACAATTTTTCCTACAGGAATTAATGTAAAGTAGGATAATGCATTCCATTCTCCCCCAAAAAAGTATAATACTGTAATTTATTATTTATACTATATCCTTTTTTACAAGAAAGTTGTCTAAAGTCATGTTTTTACCTACACTTCAGAATCTGGCGAAAATGAGGCACAGCATTATCGTTAAATAAATTTGTAACATGCTTAGTTACTGCCTTATTAAGTTGATGCTTCTCAACCTACAAGGTAGCAGTTCATGCTTTTAGCATTTCCCCTATTTCACCGGAAAGCGTTGCTTTGCTAAGGCTGTTATCTCTTCCACAATTTCTTGCAATGACCCAGGATCAGCTTCTGGTTATGCTATTCCATTAGCTAATCGATATCATTGCTATATCCACCTTTAGCCCATAATATATTTTATGAAAGGCTCCACAGGTCAGTATTGCATTTGACAACACTAGTTGGCAAAAGCTTCTAGCCAAAATGCTGGCAGGATCCTACAAGTGACCTTATGATGTCTTCATGTTATTCATTCTGCGAAAACTGCTCACTAAGGGAATATTATTTTTGCATTTTGTTCTGTTCATTACAAGTATCGCTCATGAAACATTGCTCAATAAGCAAGGTTTGAGTGTTAACTGGATGGAAGACAAAATTTATGTAACACATAGGTTTTCTGTCTATTAGTGTTCAATTACCTTGTACAATAATCTCAAATTCACATGTCATATAAACAGATTTTTCTGAATGCAGAACTGGAGAAAGGAGACTTTTCTAAAATTTATTCTCACATAAATCAAATAAAAAATATAAAATTCTCATTAATTTACTTTAAATATTTCTTTCTATTCAAAACACATTTCACTACATTTAAAACGATACAAACACATACATGTAGCTCCTGTTGTCTCAAATAAGTGATCACAGAAATTCAGTTTACACAAGATGTACTGTTTCATTTGTTCTTTCTTTTTTTGAAGGCTAAGTTTTTTATTCATTCATTCATTTTATTAAGGCTGAAAAACTAATTGCTGAAGAATGGCCGTACAAGCAGTTAGCATTTCAGTACAATTCAGTTTTTAACAATGTAACTGGAAAATGACCAGTTGATGGAAAAACCTTTCACCTAACATGACAAAATGCCAATTTTGGTTTATTAACAGCTTATATTATTGGGTGGCCCAAGATAAACCAAACAGGACATAGGAGATTTCATTTGCTTTGGTTCAGTTTATCTTGGGCCACCTTACAGAATTCACTCAAGTATAATCAAGTCAGTCAGTCACTGAGTCATCAGGACATAATAATATTCATATTTCACACACATCAAATTAAATTACTACTAAATCTCTGTGGATTTTACAATCACTACTCAAAATTGTAATTAAAAGAGAAATTTTTTCATATTTTAAACAATATTTTTTTCTAAAACACACATAAAACCTCCTTTTTTATTGAAACATTAAGGAAGACTGAATTTTGCAATACATTTATTAAAGGGGGAAAAAATTCGTCTAAGTGATCAAAATGATAAGGGAAAAAATAATGAGCTTAAAAACTTTCAAAAACAAATTCACAGGGATATTTCTAATATTATTAAACCAGGTTGTTGGCAATGAAATAACTTACACTTCCATCTGAAGCACTAGCACCAACTTTATCTCCCCTAGAATTCCAGCAAACTTCAAATATGCCACCTGTTCCTTTATAACTATGGATTAAACTGCCAGTCTATAAAGAGAAAACAGATAAAATTATACACATTTAAGTATGAAATTCCAGTGCCGGTATAGCCAGTTTTCAGACACAGAATGATTAATACAAATAAAAGGCACTTAGTAATATATTTCATTTTCTAACTTCAGAAAGTAGTAACATTTGCAATTTTTTTTATTTATTAAGCTACTAAAATGCAAAATGCAAATTCTAATTAAGTAAACATTATCTTGGATTAGGAGTCTTGCAATGAGAACAAAATAATGTTTTATTAAGAATTTGAACTGTAGAAAGTAGATTACAAAAACAGTGCCAATAAAACTTATGAAGTTCTTAGTTTTGCCATTGCTACTTCATATTATGTAGTTCTATGCATGAAACAGAATGATAGTCTAATTAACTTCTGAATAAGATGTTTTTATAGCAACATTCTCAAATAATTTGAAAAACATAAAATAATGTGAACATAAATTTATATTAACGAGATAAAAATCTCAACTAATCTAATATTTCTGTTACAGTTACTTTCCAATGTAGGACATTGACAGAAATGTACAATAGACTTTGATAGCAATGAGACTGCGAATTCACTTTAAACTGTTTCAAAAAAGGAAGTGATTAATCAAAGCAGAAAATTAAGCAGGCATATTTCATTGCATTTCATTTCATTCCTAAGAAAACCAATGAGTGTTTCTGAAATTATTAACCAAAATGTATAATGATTTAACACCATGTGACTGCTTCCTGTAGGCATACACTAGGACTATATTTTTTTATCTTGCCCTTTGTACAAGCTTTAAAATCTTAAACACTGTATCACAATTGCTTCTGTGAATGATGATATGAATATGTTGAGACATGTTTGGGAAAAACTTGACTATCATATCAATACCTGTTGTATTGCAAGTTCATAGATACAACATTTGTAACTTAGCCAAGTAAACTTCCGGACACATTCTTCTAATGATTCAAGTATTTGAGCTATTAAAAGTCATTTTTCTGTAAATGTCTATTTATTTTAGGCTAACCACATATAGAATTAAATTATTAAATATATTTCTGGTTTCTCTACATCTGCTGAGCAATTGAAGACAGATAAATTACAACAAAAGATAATACAACTGCCAAACTGCATAAAAATAAAGACATTTCATACAACAGTAAAATTTCAAAGAGTGATAAATAGAAAGTTGTGTGGATGATAACACAACCTAATGCAATATCAATACATATTAAAAAAATAGCTAACCAAATATTTTTTTAATATATAATTTTTTTAATGAAAAGGAAAAAAAAAAGTTTCTCTCTAAAATAAATTTATCTATTCAACAATTACCTCTTCATGTGTAAAGTAACCAAAAACTGCATCTTAGTGCATTTACTTACAAATGAAGACTAGGATAGAAAATTCATGTCTATTTATAGCCTCTTGTATTTTTCACATACAATATGGGTTTTATGAAAATCTGCAGACAGAAATAAGGTGATAATTTTTTAAAACCACTTTATATGCTGTGTATTATGTGTTCAAATTTTATGTTTCTTATTTCTATGAAGCTAATTTTGATGTTGTGGGGATCAGGCAATGTTTTTTTTTAGCTCACCACAAATGCTTAACTAAGGAGTTTGCAATGATACTGTGTCCTACGATTCCAGCGAGAACAAAGGCACCTCCTGTACCAAATTGGCGAGGATTGTAAAAAGGTCACAGTTGCACATGGAAGTTCTCATACAAATGCCTATAATCTTCAACAGGAATTATAGTAGTGACTGACGGCTGAGAATTCATTCCAACATCTTAACCTTTGAAATAAGAACTGCCACTATGCCTTGTAATGGTTGTTGTGCGCTTCTTGTTTGAATGGTCCAAGATCTCGGACTTTTCTTTCTTTATTTTGCATTACTTACATGTCCCTTCTACATGTTATATATGTATGTTATATATGTTCTACATGTTATATTATATATGTTCTACATGTTATATATATATATGTAAGAAAAATGAAGAATATGTTAAAGATTAAATTAGCAGCATAAATTAATTTCCCCTCTCTATTCTAAAAATAATAGCAACATCTATTTGCACTGCGTCATTTTGAGAAAAATCTATGTCATATAACTCTTATGTAATTCTGGTGATGTAAATTGAACTAAAACTCAAGCAGCCAATAATAATTTTACAGCAATATTAACTATCCAATCAAAATGCTTTGAGAACCAAAACTAATTCAGTTTGACTTAAGATTTCATCCTGAACATTACGTACTTGCTTTCCACGCTTTGCCCTAGCTACACTGCTGTCTGTCTGCTGCTGCTTTCTTGCTACAAAGTTATCAAAAATGTAAGCCTTTTGGAACAGTTGTATTTAATATACCGACTTGTGTATTATTGCAACATGTTGCTGAAAATAAAACTGAAGATTTAATCTGCCTTCGCCTCCAATTTCCTGGTCATTGCTTCAGAGTTATCATAGGTAATAGACACAAAATCATTAAAGGTCACTGTCTCTGCACTGGAAAAGTACGTCTGGAAATTGTCTTTCACTACTTTCCAATCTTTCTCTAAACAGTCTCTCAAGTAGTATGCCAGGGCTTCCCGTTTTAAGCATTCCGTAAAGATGAAGGTTATACCTTTATCCTGAAAATTTTTGGCGCAGCACATTTTTGCTCAAACAGCAGAATGTATTTATCAATAGGAAAATTACTTTTTGTTCCGTCAAAAATAGGAAATTGAAATCTTGCAGCATCGACAGTGGCTATTGATTCTGTGCTTGTTGCCATTGTTTTGGATCTAGTATTCATAATTTTTGAAGCACGAATAATCAGTTTACACAAAATTTTGAAGCACTAATAATTTTTTTTCACCAATCGCTTTACGTGTAACGGATAATCACAGAACACTTGAAAAACACTTCATTTTCATAGCGGAGGAAAAGCAAAGCACAGGCAGAAGATGATTGACGAACTGTCTTTGACCTGCTGTAGAGGATGAAAGCACATTAAATTAATCCACAGAATTCTTTCCACACAGAATTTCATCCTGTCTGAATAAATATCTGTGATATTTTCCAGCAGTCCTGATGAAGCTTGGCATCAAAGTTCAGGCATTGCTTTTGCAGAGTGCAAGGTGAAATCCAAACAATGAGACAAGATGATTTAGCATCTTTTTGTTGTAATTGCACATTTTTACTATATTTCAATTTCAGAAGCAAATCAATATTCATTACCAAGTCTGAGCCAACAGTGCAGAGAACACACTAGTTGGCTCAAGAAGACAGCCTATTGATGCATATGTTTGTGTATTGCGAGGCCTTCCAGTTTGGTAAAATCAGGAATTGTAAATGAAAGATAATAACGGTGAAGCCATTTCTGAAACTGTTACTCCTACTATATTTATGGTGTTAAAATATAATTTATCAATATGGAAATAAGTATGATAAATATTTATGTGCATTACATTTAATTATAAGTAATGATTATGTAAAAGTTTACTTTGTGATATTCTGTTATATCAAGAACCTTCCCTGAAGAATTATGATTATGTGAACTCTCAAACAAAAAGACTTTTGGACTGAAATTCTGAAAAATTCAATAGGACACTAAAAGTTAAAATTTATTTTAAAAAATTGATATTTATAAATTATACTTTACAGGATCAAAATTTTATGATTTATGATTATTATTTTTTTCATTTGCTAGTGCTTTAACTAGGGGGGGAAAGGCTTCTCTGTCGCTACACCTTTTTCTTCTTGGAGGGGGGGATATGTAAGAAAAATGAAGAATATGTTAAAAGATTAAAATAGCAGCGTAAATTAATTTCCCTTCTCTATTCTAAAAATAGCAACATCTATTTGCACTGCATCATTTTCGAGAAAAATCTATGTCATATGACTCTTGCATAATTTTGGTGATGTAAATTGAACAAAAACACAAGCGGCCAATAATAATTTTACAGCAATATTAACTATTCAATCAAAATGCTTTGAAAACCAAAACTAATTCAGTTTGACTTAAGATTTCATCCTGAACATTACACACTTGCTTTCCACGCTTTGGCCTAGCTACACTGCTGTCTATCCGCTGCTGCTTTCTTGCTACAAAGTTATAAAAAATGTAAGCCTTTTGAAACAATCACATTTAATATACCAACTTGTGTGTAGTTGCAACATGTTGCTGAAAATAAAACTGAAGATTTAATCTGCCTTCACCTCCAATTTCCTGGTCATTGCTTCTGAGTTTAAATATATTATAATAAATATATATATATCTAAAAAGATGGAATTCTGTGTTCACAGTTCGTTGTCAATTAAACAACTGTCACAATTTTCAGTCATATGAAATAATGACAAAATTTATGCTAAAAGTAACAAACACAAAAGAGGGAAAAAAAAAAAGAAAAAAAAAAAAAAAAAAAAAAAAACTAGCAAACTTTTTTTTACATAAATTACAGTTAAAAGTTTACATCATTTTAAATACAATTTTTAAAACTCAGTTTTCATGAGAAAATATCAAAAATAAGTGTTAGACGAGATTCAGGCTTATGATGGTAATAAAAGGAAATCAAACTGTCAAAAACTCTTAAAAAAATCTAACCTGTGTGGACCATATATGAACACATTTATCAAAAGAACCACTGGCTAGATATTTTCCATCAGGACTGAAGGCAACACTATATACTGGTTCTGTATGCTTTGTAAGGGTATATAGACAGGCACCACGCTCTACTTCCCACAGTCGAACAGTGGAGTCAAAAGAAGCACTACAAAGAATAAATTCACATACAATAACACATACACAATTGATAGTTCATATTTTTATAGAATGTGTGATACTGAACAAAAATTACTTTGGAATAAAATCTTTGAAGGTAAAAAATATATTAAACTAATTGTCATCTCAGTTATAAATTAGAATATATTTTCCATGTATATAATTATTTAATAGAAGGAAACTTTTTTAATATAAATATTATGAAAAATCAATGTTAGTGAAGTTGACAAATAAGAACATACAGCAATTTTACAACTTTTACTATAGTTTATAAATTAAATTTAAAATACATTAAAAAGAATGGAGGATCATGCATTAATGCGGGGTTTCTTAAACTTTCTTCAGTCGTGACTCTCTTTTATCACTGAGATTTCTTCGCGACCCCAGGACTCCATAATGCAGTACAAAGTCCATAATCCGGACTCGTCGGGACTTTGGCGATTCCGGATTAGGGTTTTTTCTGGAATATAGATCATCAATTTAAATCTGGTAAGATGGCATGCATAAATTATACAATTAAAAATATGAAACTGTAATTTATGAAATAAAGAGCAGTTATGATCTAAAGGATATAAAAAAAAAAAAAAAAACTTAATATTTATTTGTTTACTTTATTAAACATTTCTTGCAATGCAAATTGCTTCGTTTTTTTGTGCTAATACTTTCTCTTTAATTCTATAAACAGACATAAATTTCTTGTTCAGTTCCACTGTTCAAGTCCTGTAATTGTTGTGTCGAGAATACTGACTAACATGTCAATCGAAATTCTTTCGTTTTCGATAACCTCTCTGTCACTTTCTTCACTATCGGAAGCGGTATTTTCTGGATCTAGAACCATACTAGAGATTTCGCCGTCCATTAATTGATTGATGATTGGGGCATTGTTGTCGCAATGAAAAACTTCTGTTATATCATCTTCATTTATTACAGCTTCTCCACATTTCTTTACAAAATCCAATAACTGGAAAATTTCACCTTTAGTTTGCGATGTCCGAAAACCTTCAAATTTGCAGCTATCATCTTCATCGTCCTCACCGTGAAATATGGTAGCTGGCCACATATTATGCCAAGCATTTTTTAACGTACCTGGAGACACATCCTCCCACAATCTTGCAATGCTCCACACAGCAGATTTTATGCTAAAAAATTTCAAAAAGTCATGAATACTCTTGCCATTGTTCATCCATGCTCTTTTATTTGTGCAATATATAACGGGGAAAATCAATATTCCTTTAAATGCTCAAGGTGGTGTGGTGTATTTAATTATGGCAAAGCACACTAGGGCTATCTGCCTAAGGGGAGGGATGCCTTCGTGGAGGACTTTCTAAGGAAAACTGTCTCATATGCACATTACACATGGGGAAAACCACGAAAACGCCCATGCAGCCAGCCCATTCGCGGGATTCGAACCTCGGACTGAACTACCAGTGTTCAGCGGCTTTACCGCTCGGCCGCTGGTGGGCCCTTTAAATGCTCAAGGTCATGCATGTTTTCCGATTACGAAAAGTTTGCGCTTATGCCTTCCTGCAGCACTTGCGCATGCTAAAATTTCCAGTCTCGCTTTGGAATCTTTGACAGCAGTTGGAGCCTTTTCTGTAGAGGTTGCCAAGGTATTTCACGATACATATTGCCAGAAAAGACCAGTTTCATCAGCATTATAAATTTGTTCTGGAGATATTTGTAATCACTAGTAATAAGTTCAATGAATTCATCTGCAAATTGTTCAGCAGCTTCAGTGTCAGCTGAAACGTTTTCACCTGAAATTTTTAATTGTCTTATATCATGGCGATTTTTTAATTTGGTTAACCAACCTGTCGAATATGTGCACTCAGTGTTTAAGTTCATTTCTTCATGAAATATTTTGGCTTGAGCCATTAGCATTGGACCCCTCAATAGCATGCCCTCGCTGCGACGCTGTCTGACCCATTCAATCATCACTTTGTCATGATCGTCACTTTAAGCATAAAAAACCCTTTTTCTGTTATTCATTGCAAGTGGGGTGTCGGAATCCACAAAAAATTCAAAAAGTTCCTTTTTCTTTTTGCTTATGTCATATACAGTTGACTTCTTAATTTTTATAAAATTGCATTAACAGTCTGCAAAAAATAATAAGCAGAATCCAATTAGAAGATTAAGGAACAGTGCAATCTGCAACATTAACTGAAATGCCTTAGAATCAGTAAAGATAATTTTAGCCTAGCTTATACCGTCCATTATACATTAAACGCGCATGCGTAAAGCATTTAAAAAAAAAATAATAATAATAATTGTGGCTTTGAGGTCCGGATTATAGATCATTCCGGATTACGGACTTTGTACTGTTTTTACAAAAATTATGTGGTCCTTTAAAAAAACTGCTCATCTACAGGATCTCACTAGTTAGAGTCTCAAATTACATACTGCATTTACATATGAACTCAATTAAATTTTTACACTTTAAATGAATAAGAAACGATAGACAAAGGAAGCATTTGGCTAATTTACGTTACCAATGGATTTATCATGTTTTTACAATCTGTATTGATGTTATCTTCTCATACTCTTTAAAACCATCATTATTTTTGGTATTCAAGGCAATGAATTTTTTACATTTCTTTTCTTACATGACAGAAATATGTTTTTTAAAATTATTTAAAATTTAAAAGCAATACTAAAGATAAAAATTATAATTCTGTTACAGTGAAATTTTAGAAATACTTTTAAGAAACGTACCTTGCTAATATCAAATTCATGTTGGGATTGTTAGTTCCAGGACCTGTGGGACTCCATTTAATGGTGTATATTTCTTTATTGTGTGCTTGAAGATCATGAACACATGTATCTTGCTTCATGTTCCATATCTATAAAATTTACAGAAGTAGAACACTTTTCTCAACATTCATATAATTCAATACAAATTAAAAGATTAATTAAACTTTAATTTAGCTACAAAAAATTATGCAAAGTTTGACAATAATACTACAACACAAACCATTCAGTGCATTATTCAGAAATCTGCATTCCAACATATGTTATTCCGACTTCTTCCTAGCTATTTGTATAAATACAAGACTATAAAAAAATATCCCATAGCGAGATATATAAAAGAAATAATTTCTACTACACTTGCGATGCAAATTTTCACAAAAGCTATTACCTGGATATATTACAAATTACATCAGAGATGTCATTAAAAATTAATTTTTTTTTTTTCTAAAAACACTGCATATTGCTTTTGAATAGCTCCATTTGTTAAACAATGTAGCGCTCCAATCTGAATGATAGATTTGACCACTAGAATACTTGTGAAAACTGTAATTTGCCAAGTTTTATAGATGATAAATGAGTGATATTACAACTCATGGACAATGACAATAAGCCATATATACAGCCTCAAAGCAAAACAGCATAATGGGACTTAAAGTGGGAAAATTATATGCTATAGGTAACATTTAAACCAACATTAAAAAATTTGCGCAATTTTGAGTTTTTCAATGGTCTAAGAAATACATGATTCTATAATACAATATTTCTTCATTAAAATTGGTTCCACTCATTTCTAAGTAACTTCCCTACCACTTTTATTTTTTCCAACAGCTCTAAGGGAGGAAAAGAGTGATTTTTTTTCTTTCTACCATCCCTTGAAACAGCATATTAAAGTTCTACAGCAATAAACATACATCTGCTCGTTTTTCACTCATTTGTTCAGAACCCTTAGTTTAATACGTATAACATAAGGACAGTATATTAGAATGTATGGCACATTTAGTATTATTTTATTTAACAGAATTAGATAATAGTACTTTCAAACTGTTTGATTGCATTCATGTAAATTGCACAAGTATTCTATTAGTCTGAACCCAGAAATGAATAATGACACTGAAAAACAAATAATAAGAGCTATAACAAACAAAAGGCTGGATAAACTCACTTAGCTTTCCTTTTTTACTGGGCAGTTAGTTTTCTGTTTAAATATATAAATACTCACTGAAAAATATTACGCCCGATTTTTTTAAAAACCCAAGAAAACCGTTTAAACCATTGCTAAATATTTATAACTTTTACTTTTTGAAATTTAGAATAATTAAATCAACTCACTTGAAAGAAAATAGGAGATTATTTAGCTAAAAAAAAGTTTAATTATGTTTAAATCAGTGATACCTTTAATGACATGTCATCAGAACAAGAAGCAAGCAAGACACCCTGAGGATCCCATTTTATTGCATTCACTTCATTCTGGGAGGGGAAAAAAACAGATTAAAAATATGACAAGAAAATAATATTATTTCTTTAGGGCATATTATCTAACTGAGATCTAGAACAATTTTATACATTCATACAGTTTTTAACGATTGAAAATCCACCAATTCATTCAGTTATTAGTATTTCACCCCTCCCAAAAAATGTGGGAAGACAGTTTTTCAAAGCTTATTAGCCATAGTCAAAATACAACACCCCCATAAAAATTCTGAATATAAAGTAATGTAACATATATATAAAAAATAATTAAAACCATTTTTTCTGTTAAATTATAATATCAAATACACAGATTATCATAAAAATTGCATTTACGTGTGCAATTTTGTTTTGTTTAGAATTTTAAAAAAGATCCATGAATATAATTATAATGTAAGATCCCAAAATTTGGACTCGATGAAAAGTTAACTTTCAGTTTTGTGCAAAGAAAATTTTGTCTTCCTGCCCGCTGACTGAATTGCTGGTTTTTGTGTAGAAATTCTAATTGTGAAATTTTTTTAAAACTGTTTTTACTTGTATTTGGTGTTTTAGTTTTTCTGTATATTAAAATTTTTAATGAAGTTTTAGTTTTTATGCATTTTTGGCTTGCCATGAAGTGAGAACTAAATTGACTGAATAAGAAATAGATTTCTAATGGAATTCAAGGAAATAAATTATAATGAAGTGCAGAAAAAAAAATATGTACAATTTAATAGATCATACAAGGAAGTCATGAGATGTTAACATTAGATATTTAATAGTATGATTTGTATTATTTATACACCAAAATGTCCAGAGTCAATAATATTATATAATCATTATTAACTTTTATCACTTACGTCAAGAATACAATTTATCCTCCTTGAGGATTTCAGTACTTTTAATAACATTGTTTCTATTAGTCATAGACTTGATAGGTTTAATAACAACAATCTATCAAATCAATCATAATTATAACAGAAAACACTTGCAACTCATCTTGATATTTCCTGTCCATTCCTTTGTAACTATTTAATAATTCCACGAAACATGCACAGAAATCAAATGGAAGGCCTTAAAAATGTTACAAAAATTAAAAAAACTGAGTAGTTCCAGAAATTGGTAATAAGTATGGTAAAAAGTTATAAGGTGGCTAACGGCAGCAGGCTATAGGAATGCTAAATAACAACTCAGCTGCAGTCTAGATAAAGTTCTACTTTACATCATATACTAAACAGCAGTATGTTATTCATTACTAGTGAAAGTATAAAAATTGATCAAAGAATGAAAGTTCAGTATAGAGTGTATAAATGGATTAGGAACATTACAAACAGCATCAATTCTCCTTAACAAGTCAGCACATTAAGCAGTCACACGACAGGCGACTGTCCAATTTGAGAAGAAAATTGGCATGTTATAGTAGATGAAGTTGCCTCAGTATACTTTATTCCACAAGTTATTTTTACAGTTTAATTAAGTTTATGTGGAATGGGTACCCCATGAACACACTGCGGAGTTGATAAAATAATGTGTTGATGCATATAAGGAAATTTGGTGGTGCTTTTAAATGGAAGGTGATGGATTTTTATGAAGAACTGGTAAATGGGTTTACTACTATCAACCGGAAAACAAAGGAAAATGCTAAGAAGTACCATAGCTTGTTGCCAAAACTGAAAAATATTTCATGTATAAACATTGATGGCAAAGATTATGCTGACATTTTTGGAGGGTGAATGAAAAGAATTAATTTCGGAGCAACATCTGTTTACAGGAAATATAGCCACTAAAACAAAATATGCACATTTACTCAAGAATTCCTGTGTCCTGCAGTTAGATCCATATGTGGATTTCTGAATACATGTATTTTTTTGTAATACAAAAAAGTTTTAACCTATATTGCAATTATCTGAGATTTAAAATAGGAGTATCCTAATATCCATCAAAATTTCCAAATCTTGCCTTTAGTAATTTCCATGCATTAAGATAGCTGAAAAAAAGAGGGGAAGACATTGGGAGGCAATGCTTCCAAGTTTGGCAATGAGGGTAAATGTGGCGACACACTGCCTTTCTGTGGCAACCCTAAAGAATTCGTCTGTCACGAGGATCACGTGCCCAGATGATGCATCGTTACGTCTACGTCTGCTTTTCTGTTTGATAGTTAGTTGCATTTAAGATTTTGCAGAATTAGAAATGGTATGAAAATAAATGTTAGTGTTTTTAAAAAGTGTCGGCTCAGATTTTCGAACCTATGATTTACTTGTTAAGCAACAAATTTGGCGAGCCAGCCAGGATGAATGTCACAGGGTGACATTATCGATTTCAGCACTTGATAATTTACGAAAATAAGAGAAGTTGCTAGGTGCAAATATGGATGATTTAGAAACACTAAAACAGAAGCGGAAAGCAATTAGGAGTGTATTTACGAAAACAGCTAATAAGTTAGATGAACTGATACGATCAGATTCTCCGGATTTGGACGATTTAGAAATTTATTTAGATCAAATTTCAGAGAAGTATAAAACTTTACGAAATACGGATGACTCTTTTTGAACTTCTACAGAAAAAAGGCTGTACTGAAGAAGAATACGAAAGAGAATTTAGTGCAGCTCAAGAATATTACGATAAATTATCTACGTTGAAAGTAAAAGCCAACAGGAAAAAGGATAAGTGTTCACAGCCTTCTACTGGGTCAACGAATAGCGGTTCTTCATCAGGAATAGTTACAGCTGCAAAATAGAAATTGCCAGAGATCGAACTGGTGAAGTTCGATGGAGACTCCCGAAAGTGGTTGACATTTTGGACGAGGTTTAGTAAAATACATGAAGATACTTGCATCTACAAGATAGACAAGTTTCATTATCTACTACAATCTACGAAACCTGAGACTGCGCCTAGAGCAATAGTGGAGAGTTTTCCTGCTACGGAAGAAAATTACGAAAAAGCCGTGGAGTATCTCAAAGAACGATTTGGAAATGAAAATGTTTTAATTCAAATTTATGTTAGAGAGCTATTAAAACTGGTAATCAATGACAAACAAAAGATAGACTTATTAACTCTTTATGACAAGTTGCAAACTCAACTACGCACATTGGAATCACTCGGTTTAACTAAAGATAAATTTGCAGTTGTTTTATTTCCTTTAGTGGAATCAGCACTTCTTGCTGATTTAATACAAATTTGGGAAAGACAACGAGGTATGTCTCCTGAAACAACAGGTAAGAGTGATTTAGAGTCATTAATTGATTTTCTAAAAAGGCAAGTAGAAACCGAATTTAGAGTTAAACTTACCTGTGATGTTTTGGGTTCTGATAAAGTAAGTAATAAGAAAAAATAAGTTTTTTGACACAAAACCTGTTGTTCCAACTGCATGTGAACTAATTAATGCAAATAGTAGTAAGTGTAATGATAATTTTCAAAAGTATAAAAAGTCTGATACTTGTATTTTTTGTGAAAAATCCCATTTGTCTGAAAGATGCATCTTTAATGAGTTCAGAATGTAAGAAAGATATTATTAAGAAAAAGAATGTTTGTTTTGTGCGCCTTCAGAAAAACCATAGAGCAAATCAGTGCACAGCTAAACATAGGTGTACCTTATGTAAAAATCGACATTTTGTGATTATGTGTCCTGATTTGCCTTCTAACAAAACAAAAAGTGTCACAAAGTTAGGGAATGACGAAAACAAAAACAGGCATTCTTAATAACTATGTTAAGGTATCAGATGTATATCTTCAAACTTTAATTGTAAAAATTCAGAATGGTTCTAAAGAAATGTTTGTACGAGCAATTTATGATAGTGGTTCTATGAAATCATATTTATGTAATGATGTTGCTCAAAGGTTAAATTGTAAGTGTATTGGTGAATCAAAAATTAAGCAATTTCTTTTTGGTGGAGTTGAGACTTCAGAAAATGTATATAAAAACTATGTTATTGAAGTAAGCAACATATATAGTAAATATAAGTGTAAATTAGAGGTACTTGGTCAAAACAAAATTTGTTCTGAAATTAAACAACTCCCATCTGGTTCGTGGTTACGCGAACTTAAGTCACATGGTATCAAATTAAGTGATTTAGAAAATGGTACATGTAATGTCGATAAAGAGATAAAATTACTAATTGGTGTGGATTTTGCTGGTAAGTTGCTAACTGGAAAAATTGTTCCCCTTACGTGCGGTGTCAGTGCGGTGCATACGCAGTTAGGCTGGACTGTTATGGGTAAATTTACTGGCACTGAGCCAACTACGATAAATACTGCATCCCTCCTAATATCTTCTCTGTTAGTGAAGGGTCAATGTATTAGTGATATCTGGAAGTTAGATGTTTTGGGTATTAGTGAACCTTCCGTAAGTAAAACCAAAACTCAGTTACAGGAGGATACGCAAAAATATTTTGAAGAGACTCTTACGGTAAATTCAGAGGGAAGGTACGAAGTAGCATTACCCTGGGTGTCGGATAGCTCGCTTTTACCCGAAAACAAAAGGATAGCAGAAAAATGTCTTGTAAGTACTAAAAGAAAATTAAAGACTACGGGAAATTTTGATGCTTACGGAGACGTTTCCCAGAACTGGTTAGCACTCGGGATAATTGAAAAAGTACCAGATAAGAATAAATATAAGGGTGTACATTATTTACCTCATAGAGTGGTTGTTAAAGAAAATAGTAGCATGAGTATAAGACCGGTGTTTAATGCAAGTTCTCATTCGCCTGGTTACCCATCATTGAACGATTGTTTATCTACTGGACCAAATTTAATTGAAATTATACCTTCGATTCTTAATCGGTTTCGCAAGAATTATGTTGGTGTCACTTCAGATATAGAAAAAGCGTTCTTGCAAATATCTATAAGGGAAAAAGATCGAGACTTTTTGAAATTTATGTGGTTCAGTAGGGATAATGAAGAACAAGTAAAACTGTATCGGCATCGAAGGGTAGTTTTTGGTATTACGTGTAGTCCGTATTTATTGGCCGCTACAATACAATATCATTTGAGTGTAGTTCCCGAAAGCTTAAGTCATACAGCGGAGATTTTGAAAACATCCTTTTACGTAGATAACTGTGTGGCTAGTATGGATTCAGAAATAGAAATGAGAAAGTTTGTAAATGAATCACAAATAATTATGGCTTCGGGTCATTTTAATTTAAGATTCTGGAAATACAATATAAGAAGTGTTGTGCCAGAGGAAGATTCCTCCACGGAAGGAGGTGTGTCTGTTTTGGGCCATGTATGGCATACAGTTACAGATACCTTATCTTGCAAAATAAGTTAAGATATAAAATTGGATGACCCAGTTACTAAAAGACTAGTTTTAGCAGTAGCTCATCAGGTGTTTGATGTTATAGGGCATACGGCTCCTGTAATGTTGATTCCAAAACTAATTTTACAGGAAACTTGGAATTTAAGGCTTAAATGGGATGATGTTCTTCCCAATGAATTAACCAAAAAGTTTAGGTTTTGGCTTAAAAAGTTGTACTTGCTATCCAGTATCCAAATACCTAGATGGGCAAATACAACTTTTAGTTTTTTTTTTTTTTTTTTTACTAAATGGTAGGTCTCAAATCTATTAATGAAGCTGTGAGTATACATCTTTTGTGACAGTAGTAAAAGTGCGTATGGTGCATGCGTCTTTTTAAGAGTACAGAGTGGCAAAAAGGTGAAGGTTAGTTTGATACACGCAAGATCGAGAGTAGCTCCTTTAAAACCTATTACGATTCCTCGATTAGAACTTCTTGCTTGTAATATTGGTTCTAGGTTATTGTTTGTCTTCAGTTATTAATGATATTGGCCTACATGAAGTTTGTATTCATTGTTTGGACTGACTCCTCGACGGCTTTAAGTTGGATACGGCGAAATCAACGTTGGGGAGCATTCGTTTTTAATCGTGTACAGGAAATCAGGTCGTTGACCTTCCCCACTGTATGGCGACATGTCTCTGGTAGTCTCAATCCTGCTGACCTACTTTCTAGAGGTTGTTATGCAGATCAATTAATAGAACGAAAATGGTGGGAGGGACCTGATTGGTTACGGGAAGATGAGGCAAATTGGCCTAAATCTAATGATGAACCAGATGAGGATTTGGTTAATTCAGAATTACGTAAGACAGTTATTGTTACGTTGGCAAAGAGTGATAATTGTATTGGATGGTACTATAAGTATTCCTCATCATTTAAGAAAATTGTAAGAATGTTATCATGGATATTCAGATTTTATAATAATGTACGTAATAAGAATAATAATAACAACCATTCTAAGGATTTGACTGTATCTGAAATTGAAAGGGGAGAAATAGCTTTAATGTTATTAATACAAAAAGAGTTGTTTAATGGTGAAACAGATGATAAGCTAAGACGACTCAGACCATTTGTCGATAGTCAGGGTCTAATATCAGCTAAGTCTAATGTTGCTTATCGTAACAACTCTAGCAGCTTTAAGTTCCCCATCATATTACCTTCTGAGCATCCAGTAGTCAAATTATTGATATTAAGTGCACACAAAGATTTGTTGCATGCAGGTACTACATTATTGATGTCGCATTTAAGAGAAAGATACTGGATCTTAAAATCACGTAAAACTATAAGGAATTGTATAAGAAAATGTGTAACATGTTAGAGATTTAAGGCTAAAAGAGGTGAGACAGTCCCAGGCGTTTTACCAAATGATAGGGTTCGTGATTCAGCCATTTTTGAAATCGTAGGGTGTGATCTTGCCCGGACCCTTGCATTTAAAGGATGGACGAAAATCGTATATTGTGCTCTTCACCTGTGCGGTTTATCGTGCTATCCATATGGAACTGGTTACCTCATTAACAACTGAATCCTTTTTTCAAGCTTTAAGGCGTTTTATCGCCCGTCGTGGACAGCCTACCACCATATATTCCTATAACGGGACAAATTTTGTGGGTGCAGAGAGAGTTCTGCAAACCACTGACTGGGACAGCCTCCGCTCTAAGGCTGCTGAAAAGAGAATACAATGGGAATTTAATCCTCCATCCGCCGCTTGGTGGGGTGGATGGTGGAAGCGTTTAATACAAATTATAAAACAAATATTAAGAAAAATTTTAGGTCGTGCTTCTCTTGGTTATGAAGAGTTACTCACTGTCTTGTGTGATTGTGAAAGAATTGTCAACTCAAGACCACTTACGTACGTGTCTGACGATATTGAAGATCCCTTGCCTTTAACTCCAGAAAAATTTCTGCATGAAACTCCACAGTCGGGTGTACCTGATATTGACAAGTGTGGACAAAGAAAAATTGAGTAGAAGAGCAAAGTATCTCCAGAGAGAATGAGAGAATTGTTAAGAGTGAGATTTCGCTCTGAGTATCTAGGGCAGTTAAGACAGCAGTCTACCAGAAATTACAAAAATACAAAAATAAACCTCTCTGTAGGAGAAATTGTCTTGCTGGAGGATCAAAATAAAAACCGTACATATTGGAATTTAGCACGCGTTATTCGGGTGATCGCTGGTCGAGATGGCAACATAGGATGTTGCTCTTGTAAAAAGTAATAATTCAGAGTTCTTGAGACCAATACAGAGATTGTTTAGATTGGAACTGGATAATATAATAGATAATACTCAAAATGAGCAAGTTCCTTTCACCACCAGTAGTGGTAGAGTTGTAAAATCACGAATAATGCAATTTATGTCTTTGAGTTATTACGATTAATTTTCGTGCTATTATTGTTGTATTATTGCTCAGTATTAATTTTGTTTTCAAGTAATATGATTTAAGTATTAAGTAATTTTCTTTGTTACATAACCATCATTTATATTGATGTAAGTTTTATGTTTTGAGTGTATAGCCATCCACTCAAAAGGTGGGAGAATTGTGGCGACACACTGCCTTTCTGTGGCAACCCTAAAGAATTCATCTGTCACGAGGATCACGTGCCCAGATGATGCATCGTTACGTCTACGTCTGCTTTTCTGTTTGATAGTTAGTTGCATTTAAGATTTTGTAGAATTAGAAATGGCGTGAAAACAAATGTTGGTGTTTTTAAAAAGTGTCGGCTTAGATTTTCGAACCTATGATTTACTTGTTAAGCAGCAGTAAAGAAGACAGTGCATGAGTGGCTTCAATCACAACTGTGTAGCACAATCCCCCCTTAAGGTATCAATATACTTCCAAAATGATAAAACATTTGTACAACAAGTCAAAATGATTATAATGAAAATTAAAGTAAGCATATTCCTTAACAATTCTCTAAACAGCATCAACCCAATGAAAAAAGTACAAAAGCACGAGCGAATGAAAACATGAAATACCTTATAACTTCTAATAATTTTATACTATATCCATGCAATATTTCAGTAAAAAAGCTAATTAAGCACAGTCTTTTGTTTTCAACTAATTTTGGAGAAGGGGGCAAGGAATATGAAATATAAGTTTCAAACCACGTTTTTAAGAAATACATGAATTCATATGAAATTAATTGATAAGTACTTTCATATATATTTCTTAAAAATTACAAAATATATAAAAATTGTTTTAATGAAAATAGCTTTATATTATTTTTAAAATGCACAAAATTATAAAATAAATTAACATTGCTTTAAACAAAAATGTATAATAGTACAATATCACATTTTACTCACAGTATGACCAGTGAATGTTTTTATGGGTTTATCAACACCTAATTTGCAAACATGAATGCACTGGTCAGTTGAACAAGATGCAAAACTTGTATTAGTCTGCCAGTCAACATCCAAGGCAGGAGCTAAAAAATACGAAAAAAGTATTTTCAGATACTTTTGGTCAAGTACAGTTCGTAGAGAGAAAATATCTACAGATCAGGATTAAAATTTTTGCTATTTTAATTGATTATATGTACAAACAGTTATTAAATGTTTCACAGCATACATTTTGGATCTCAGAAATTTTGTTTAGTTACAGATGACTAAAATGAGAGTTTTTTTAAGTCTTCCCCTTGTATTATTGCAACTTCCAATTATTGTTTTATATGTAATACATTTAAAAAGTGATGTTTTCTTGAGATTTGATAACGAAACTGATAAAAATTCTCACACCTAAGAGAGAGATAAAAATATGTGGATGTGGTATGTGGGAGGGGGGGTCCTTTTACTTCTTTTATTAATGTCTTAATACATGGGGTCATTTTTTTTTCTTTTAAAACCAACACTACAATGGCTAAAAATAAAAGCAATATTTAAATATTGAGATTTCATTTTCTTCGCTTTTACAACTACTCATTTCATGTATTTTTAAACATGTTTCATAAACAGTAGAGTTTGACAGTACAAGTAGTTTGCGCATGTGAAGCTTGCAGCAGTTTTTTAATCTCTATTTTTTGGAGAGAAAATCCACTATTTGTGTTTATTTTGAGTTCCCTGCTTTTTATTGCTCAATTTTCTCTCAAAATTTACTTCCTCGAAAACAATACTCAGTGCTCAAACAAAAATTTATATATCTTTTTAGCAGGTATGGTGAGAGTCAAATCTTTGGATTAAATGACTTTTCTTTAATGGTATAAGATAGCAGCTCTCAAACTTTTGACTAATGCATAACATCTAAACAAAAATTGAAAAACTTTAGCACCACCACTACCCTTTACAATGATTATTAGGATCCACTTTTAATTTTGTTCTGTATTTATTTTTCAAATATAGCATGGATGAAAATCCTTGTTCACAACGAATAGGTTGTGCAAAATGGTAAAAAAAATTTAATAGCTTTATTTGAAATGCCTTTAAATTCTACTTTTCGGTTCAGACAAAAGTTAACAAGTGTGTTATTTCTGAAATCTTCCGTTAAAGTTTGATCACAGGAAATTGCTATCAACTTTTTTTTTTTTTTTTTTTTTTTTTTTCTTCAGAGATAAAATTTCAGGTGCATTTGAACAAAATGGATTTCTAATCCAGTTTTCTTTTTCTAGAAAAAATTTAACGTCATGCAGCACCACATAATTCACATCAATGAACACATATAAAATTAAAATACCTTATTTGCTTACAAAATGAGCACTTGAATATTTAGCTCTATATTATTTTGAGAAGTGAAATAATAAGTCTTCTGTTCAGCCCATTCTTTAAGACGACAATTATGGATAAACAAATTGAACTTTTAAGACAATATATACATGCATGCATGGACACCTACACAGTGTACACAAAAGTCTTTACCTGGCTTTTTTTCGTGACTGTTGGTCACAGACATATACTTTCTTTACAAAAATGTTTCATATGATGCAAATATTATGTTTTCACACTTAAATTATTAAAATGTTAATTATGTTACACCTAGGGCTGTGGAGTCAGGCAGATTTTGGGGTAAAAGGAGTCAGAGCTGCAGTCGCTAAAAACAGGTCGACTCTGACTCCAGTTTTTGTTGAGCAGTTGAAATTAGAAATGAAATTAAAATTAAATTGAAAAAATTAATAACAAGCTGAGTTATTTTTATTTATAGACTTTATACATTAATAAATAGTTATTTTCCATTTTATTGACATATTAATAAATAAATATAAGGGAGGAGGATGGAAGTGATATTTGCCATTAGTGATTGAACTGATTCATTTAATATCAAATCTTACTGGTAAATTTAGGTAAGCAGCAATAGCAGCGAAAACTCCCAAAATTGATGCCATTCTTAGGAAGCGGGCAGAAAAAGGAGCAATTATTGATCAAGCAACGCAATAAGGAAGTACATATTTGATGATAAAGAGGTTTATAGAATTAAGAACTTTTTTAGATGATGTAGATAACCCTAATGTTTCACTAACAGAAAGACTGTAGAATGATCTTGCAGAATTGGAAACTTTTCTTTCTACACTATATATAGCCACAAAAAAGCTGCAATCTAAAGAATTGACAGGAGGCGATAATGGGATGTTTGCTCTTTCTGAAATGGAAGGTTTATTACAGAAGGAATCATTTCTTCAATGAAGAAAAGAGATACTAGTTTGCTAGATAATGAGATCTTGCTGGGTTCAATATATGTAGAACCGAAACACCAAATTTTCTTGGATGACGAACAAATTAAAAAGGTAAAGAAAGCCGTATATGAGCTTTCATTAAGAATGAAAATATTCTCAGAATAATTGGAGAGTTCGAATCAGGACAGTCAAACTGAAGACATTTTAATTGAGTCTCTGTCATCCTCTTCCAGTGATGAATTAGATTTTGAGAAATATTTTTAGATAATATTGAAAAGGCTAAGACAAAGTGAATGAAAATAAAGAACCAAGAGCCTTTAGATATAAAAATGAAAAAATACAAACAAGATTTCTGCACGGCCTTTGAAGAAATAGAGAGATATGATTGCGCTTGCAAGACACCTCTTTTAGAACTGATAAAAATCTATCCTGAAAAGTTAAAAGAAGTAGCTCTAACAGTAATAGCTCTTCCTCCTACTTAAGTTAGTGCAGAAAGACTCTTCTCAGCTCTGAAGTTTATCAAATCCAATGTATGGCCCTCCAACAAAGATCTTGCCGAAGCTATACTGTTTCTTAGAAGTAACTAATACCAGTTTTTCCATTTCATAATAAATGCTAATTAATATAAATAATTTGCTATGGCATCAATTTTTTTTCTGTAGCATCTATTATTTCTTTTATTTAAAAAAATAAGCTGTAACCCATGTGTATGTGATTAACAATACTATAATTAATCAAATACAACAAATTAAAACTATATGCACAGATACAATAGATTTACAACACGAAATTTTGATCCTTATTAAAATTCTCAAAAATAATCTAATTCCCATTCAATTTATCAACCATTGCCTTAAAAGAGCAGGCGTTAAATACTCACTCTAAATCGTTTAACTGATAGGGATATGATAATTTGTTCCTAAACCTGAAAAGGCAGTATAAGTTGGATGACTGTCAGTTGGAAGATTTGTATATAGTGTAATTACTCAATTGTACATATTGTAAAAAGCTAATTGTCTTCAGACATATACTGTTACTAAAAAAATGGGCCTATTTCATGCCTTTAGTCTGTCTATTAGCTCTTGGACAGTGAAAATTCCTTTTTCCTTTCTTAAATTCTTAATCATTGCGACACGACAATTAGCCAGAAATTAATTAATTTCCATTCACTAGTATTTTCAAAAAAATCTTAACAGACAGTCTCTCAGATAAGAACTCCACAAAATACATCCCTCAAGAATTCCAAGTCCCACCCACTACCATAAATTACTTCACCCAAGTCTTACCGACTGATATTATTCAAAGCCCCTACTGCCGCTAAGAATTTTCGGACACCCTACACTTATGAGTCAGACACGAAGAGAACACTATGCCAACTCCCCCACTAGAAAGAATGTAAGTTACTTAATACCTTTTCTGGCCTTTATATCTTCATGTACATTCACTGATCTTATTTATATTATTTTTTCTATTATTATTTTTATATTTTTTTGTTTTTACAAAGTTTGCATTATTTATCTTATTTTGTAATCTTCTATGTTTATTTCAACCTTACTTTGAATTCGATTTCATAATGTCAATTTCCAATGTTTAATTTCTACAAATAATATAGTACTCAAATGCATAAACATGAAAGTGTCGGGGACGGTTACTCGAGTTAAATAGAATTTCTCTACAGTAATTAATTTTTACTCCAAATTGAATTGACTAAATGCTTCATAAGAATAAGTTCTTTGAGTATCAGCATTGGTTCATAATTCCTTCTATTCGCGGAAATATTTGGCCTGACTAGAATTGCCGGTTTGGCTTTTACTTATAACTCGAGTAAAGATGAAACACTTTCGTATTTACATATTTTTATCAATTATTGTTCATTGAGTGGGAGTTGGTTTGTTCCCCTTGAAAAGTCAACTAATTTCCGATCAACGACAATGATTACATGTTTTAATTTTTCCTTTTACAATTGAAATTTTTATTCTTCATGATGATTTAACTCCAGTTCCCATTAAAACATTATTAACATTTTGCTTTCAAATTACTTCAAAACATCTTTCAAAATATAACTTACCAGTATGGATTCACACTTTTAAAATAATTCTACTTTAATTAAACTTAGGAGATAATATAATCAATTAATCAATACTGTTTAGGAAATAAATTATTATTAATTTATATATATATATATATATGAGGGAGTCAGAGTCGGTCATTTTCCCTGGTTATGCTTTAACCCATTTGGGATGGCTCCCTCAGGACAGGAACTGTTACATGCGGAGTGTGCTTACAGTAAGCCAAATACTCAATTTCGGAAAATATGCATTACATAAGAATGGATAAAATGTACACTTTACGTAGAAATAAAACCATTTTTAAATATGTGATTAAAGATTTCATAATTTCAATCATAAAAAAATTTAATTAAAATAATTGATATTCAATAATAAAATATAAATATATTATATTTTACTATAACTAAAAGTACCTAAAATTGAACACTAAATGTTGATACAAAATATAAAAACACATTAAAAATATTTACACTTAACCATTATGAAATATTTGAAAAATATTTTAATAATTAATATTTCAAAGCCATATGAAAAATATCAAAACACAGATCAATGCAGAGACCAGCATTGCATTATTATATTAATATTCAGAACTACTATATGAACTCCAATAATTTATAGTTCTTTCACCGTTATGATGGGAAAGAATCATAGATGGATCATTCATAACTTTAGATATTTCCTTCTCAGAAAGATAACATAAGCTTTTAGCCATGGCTACACAAATGGATTTAAAGGTGAAATCCATGTTAGAGTATCTCTCATAAAATCCAATCCTAAGATAGAATCGAAACTATAAACAACCACTTCAAAATGAGCTAAAAGGCTCTTTACCACCTGTTCGTGTTTCCCTTTTCATTCCTTATATTCACGAAAATCCAATAAATCAGACACTTGACATTCTGACATCAGAGAGAGAAATACTAATGCATCAGAGCAATCTTTTGAACTGAACATGGCTTAGTAATGCCATCTGTTAGTAAATATTTTGTTCCAAAAGTAGCAGGCAACTTTGCTATGGCCTTAGGCATTAGGCTGTGAAGGACACAGCGCTGAGCTGAGCTGCTGACGCATTGTTCATCCCCAACCGATTAAAACATCAATTATAAAAATTATGAAATCTAACTTTTTGGTTCCCCAGTTCCTATACTTACCATCAGGGAAATTTTAAATTAATTATGAAAAATAAAGGAAAAAATGATTCCCTTATCATGAAAACTGATCAGGATATTAAATTTCAAAATTTGGAATATCTGATGTCATTTTACATTTCCCTTATGGGGTTGGTTAATAAAAAATAAATTAGAATAATTCAGGGTTGATTTCCCTCCTGAAAATACCATCCAATGATATGTCATCAAAACAGGCCAGCCAAGATGTTGCCAAAATGTATGTGGCAGCAAAATTATGTATATCCAGCATCCCAGAGACGCATACATCTCCACCTTCATATTTGATAGTATTTGTTTCTGTTGCATTGAGTGTATTTTTTTTTCCTTGTAAAGAAATGTAATGGGACTGTGGATGTTGCCATCTGATGAAAAATAAAGCATTTCATTTCTTCAGAAATATGACGTTTTGCCTAACTGCAGAGAATGCAAAAATTCACATTCCATGAAGCTGCACTTCTAAGTGATTCTAGATTCTATGAATTTCTGCAGCAATGCCAAATTTGAGACATTGCTGTGTACACGGGAAAACAATAGCACGCGCAATCTCAAATTTGTTTAATTCTGTGATGTATCTGTAAGCAAAAACAGATCACTGTGCATATGGGAATAAGATTACCATTTAAAAATTAGAGAAGGAATTTCATGAAAAATGTGTTTTATTTCATTTAATGTACTATATACTTCTTATTTAATAATTAAAATTTGTATTTTAAAATCTTTTTCTTTTGATAAGTTGATAATGTTTGCTATAAATATCGATAGTTTGGAAATATTTTTATGAGAAGTCTAGAAAACCACTAACTTGCACCCGATAAGTAATTTTTATCTTTTCATCTGTAACAGATTGCCATACTGCACCAAGGTGGTCACGTTAATATGCAAGTACCAAGGAAACTTTGAAGCAACATTTTAATACTTTTTGTAACAAATCCTAATCTAATATTAAAATATGGAATAAAGACCTTATAACAGCAAAAATCAATTTATGCAATTCATATAAAAATGCATATATTTTGCAAATAATGATGTACAATATTAAGCACAAATATAGGTGTTTTCAAATCAATACCAACAGTTTCAAAACTGACTAATTAAACAATTACATTATCAAAGGATAGTTACCAATGTGAAAAGCAAACTGTTGAGTGCATTGTCCAGTGCTTGCATCCCAAATAATTGTTGTCTGTAATAAATATTTCAGAATAATATATAAGCAAATTAATATCATACAAAAATAAACAAGTTACAAAAAAATTAAACTTGATAATATTTAAAACTTATCAAAAAAGGAAAACATGATTCACAAAAAAGTTTTCAGTATTACAAAATAATACAGCATACAGAACAAACAAAAATCCATATTATATCAACTTTTTGAAACAAAAATTTAAACTAATATTATTATTTCTAACTGAATAATTACTTCTAATTGAAGCAATAAAAGCTCTTTAGAATTTTTTAACTTGACAGCAATGCCGGACTAAAATAAGTGTTAAAAAAATATTTAATTTGATATATTAAAAATTATCAAAATTACTAAATTCAAAACATTATGAGGAAATAAGTGAATATATATATATATATATATTATATATATATATATATATATATATATATATATATAATTAAATATAATTTAACAACAAAAGAACCTCACCTTATCAACTCCAGCACTAAGAATGTAATTCCCCTTTTTATTCCATTTCAAAGCAAATATGGGACCTTTATGCTGACCCAATGTGCTTGCAAGTCGTCCTGTTACACAGAAAAAGGAACATTTTTATATTTGGATACATTAAATGCATTAATATCTAGATTACCATGAAATTACTAATAAATTACCATCTGTCATCCATATTCTTGCAAATCCATCGTATGAACCAGTTGCTAATAAAGTACCATCAGACTAAAAATTTAGAAACAGATTGCGTTTATATCAGTTATCTCAAATTTACAAAGTAATAATTCTAACTATCAGTAATAAATCAAGATGTGAAAAATTAAACAAAATGAAGACTTCAAATAAGGAAAATATTTGAATAAAACCATTGCATACTTAGAATTTTAAAATTCAGGCAGAATAATTAAACAAATACATATAATAACAAAGAAGTTGATTTTTAAATTTAAATGTCAGCTATAATAACAAGAGAAAAACTGAATTTGCAGCTTACATTCCAGTCAAGAGATGTTACATCCTTGTTACTAGGTACTTCAGTGCCACCTTTTTGAATACAGTGTCTCAATACTAATTGGTTACCACTATTGTTAGCAGAATTATCATTCATATTCCATATTCTAGCTGTTGAATCACCTGAACTAGAGAAGAAAAAAAAAAAAAATACAATTTATAATTATAGTAATAGGTTTCTGAACACTGGTAACACTAAAAAACAATTAAATAATTGAAATAAAATGACCAATTTTTATTTTGACATGCTAAATACAATTATGAAGGATAAAACTGTTAATTAGTTTAAGTTATGAAGATCTATTAATGATATTTAAAATTTAACCTAAGCCCACGGATTCAAATAACTTGTTTTTATTACAAATGTTAATTTCATTCCAACTTATGTTAATGTAAGCATGTTATATGGTTATTTATTTTATAGTTTTATAATAAACAGTTCTTGCATTATGTTTAACTCTTAATTAGAAGGTGAAGGTATTTAGTGAACCAATTTGATGCCTCGGCAAATTATTAAATTCTTAATATAACATTCCATTATTCTCATCCATTTAAATGCTGCCAAATTAAATTCTAAAACTGAAATGATGTAAAAATAAATTTAAATTACAGTAACTAAGAATAATTATTTTAAAATTTTTATGCCATTCTTAATGTACAGTTGGATTAAGTCACATAAAAAAACAGTGCTAATGAGTTAATTCATAAAATTGGCTAAAAAAGTTATTTTAAATTCAAACTGAGAATTCTTAGTAGAAATACACTGTGATATGTAAGAAAGAAAAGGAAAAAGTACCCAGAAGCCAGTAAGTCTGATGTAGGATTCCAAGCACAGATGAATACTTCGGATTCATGGCCTCGTAATATTGTGGCTCGACTGCTTGGAATTTCAATGCTTCCATCAACATCCATACCTTCTGTATGATTAGCTGATTTAGATTACACAGAATAGAAACACAAATTACACACTTGATAATAAATAAGTAAATTTTTAGAAATTTATCAAAATATAAAAATACCTATTACATTAATAGATGACTCTATAAAAATAATTATACTTTATACTAGAAATAGTATTTGTATACTTAAAAAAAAGCAACCAACTAAATATTTGATTCTGATTATATATGAGCATAATAATAACTTCTGGTACATGGGTATAGGCTGATACATGGCCAAAAATAATATATCTGATTCTGAATCCTGCAAGTGTTCAGCAACCCGGTGTGCTATCATTCTTCTAAAAAAAAAAAAAAAAAAAAGGAGTTTTCCCCCTTGGCTGCTATGAAAGAATGAGAATTGCTCCAAGCCACTCCAACATCTTCAAACCAATTAACCCTCTGAACGTTATGATGCCTTTATCCGGTCATCAAAAGTTCTGCTACTTGGCGTATATTGGCTTATAATTTAAGATATTTTGCTTTCTTGCTTTCTTTAATAATGTAAATATCATCTTAATGAATATAAGTTTATGAAAATACGGACTAAAACTCAATAAATGCTGTTTAAATACTGGTCTTCATGATGGATATAAAATCCTGTGCCGCTCAGAGGGTTAATGCAAGTGCATATCTGCACTGGATCATTATCTTGATTTTTTTCCCATGCAAATCCCGAAAAATTTTTTCCCTCAGTAATTTTGCATCATGTGTTAATAGACTTTCTGCAAAACGAAACAGAAGCAATTCATTATGATATTTTGCCAAAAAAAAATCCCAAGTGTTTCAAAGTTCACACAATAAAACTGTAGATGACAAAAGATGTATGATGTAAATGCAATGTCATCAGAGCCAGCAAAGTATTAGAATAAGAACTCGGAATTGATTTGAGAGTCCCTTGCTTACATAGCAAGTGGCAAAGATAAGATGTGGAGAATAACAATGTGATGAGATTTTGAATACAAAGTATACTCAATGGAAATTAAAAAAAAAAAAAAAAAGTATTTATCTATTCATTTATCTGCTAAAATCAAAAACATATTTCATTGCCAACAGACACCAATAAATTGTTGGAGGTGCGTCAGTGGGTACAAGCTAGTATACCAGGAACCAAATTTAAATATAAAAAAATAATCACTGAGGCAAAGAATATCTCACATCTCTGTGAGCAAATCATATCATAACAATTTTGTTTTAAAGTAATATATTTAAGTAATTACAAAATAATAAACACTGAAAAATAAAGAGATAATACCAACAAAATCTAACTGCATTTTTATATTCATAAAAGTTTTAATTATTTTTGCTATTTTGAAGTTTTAAAAAACTATCAATTAGAAACATTACCTCCTCCATCTTCTCCATTAGCATTTGACGTTTCACTTTTCACAACAGCATTCTTTGTGTTGTGAGCTTGCTGCTGCCTTGACAAAACAACATCTGGCATAACAGCATCAATTAAAGAGAGAGACTCTATCATAGTTTCAGATCCATCCTACACATGTAATATGAAAAAAAAAAACAACATTAAACTGAGAACAAACTTGAAAGAAAATACACACAGTGCCCATAAATATCTTAAGTGGTTTTTATTCTCATAACTGTTAGTTGTGTTAGTGCTGTTGTATACACTTCCAAATACAAAAATGTTTTAAATATTCCTAATATTCATGTCTCGGCCTTTGGAAAAAATAATTCTGTGACAATTATAAAATCTAACTTTTCATACATCACTCTAGTCAATTTTTATTCAATCTAATTCAAATCTCAATATGCAAAGTCTTTTGCATGTTTTACAGTACATTAAGATATAACAGTATCCATCTTTGTCTGTTGGCCTTTAAAAAAACTATGCTAATGCAATTTCCAGTATAATGGCCCAGTTAAGAATAAGTCAATTCTGATTTCACGTATTTGCTGAAGTTTTTTGCTGAGACATTCGATAAGGACATGCATCATTAACCCTCCCGCACACACGCTTGGCAATTTTACATGAAATCGCGCATGTCGCATTTTTTATGGCATCCGTTATTTTACAGTTTTTGGCACGAAAAATGACAGAAATGAGTGAATATTGATAATAAATTTGTTAAGAAATAAAAAATTAACCTTATTATTGCAAAATATGAACGATATCCCATTCAAATATAAATAAATTATTTTTAAGTTCTTATGTTAGTGTGATGGAATTGCAATGATGTATTTCATTACAGAACATTTTAAATTTATTAGTTAATAATTATATTTTAAAATCGAAGCTAATTTTAGTATTTATCAAAGGCAAGTATAGACAAATAAAAAAGGAAATCATCTTGGTAGAAAAAAAGTAAATTTAGCATTACTTACTTCTGCAAGGAAATTTACTTCTTACTGGTTACAAAAACACACTTTAAACTAACTTTTATATTTTTATTTATTTCTAAAAAATAGAAATAAAAGAAATTAAGGAATGGAAAGAAAACAAGGAATGAAAATCACTATTCTTCTTCCAATCAAAGGTTTCCTTGTTTACCTTTCCTTCATCAGATAGTTCTTGAAGAATGCAAGCAAAATCAGCTGGTTGCACATATTTTTTTTGCCACAAAAACTGACATAAAATTTACAGAGCCAAATGTATTCAAATTAAAATAATAAACAGCAATTAATAACACAAAATATTTGAGAAAAAAAATATTTTCACCCACGAACACGTGCATGTCGTAACTTTTACGAAAAAGCTGCCACATAGCACAAATGCCCAGTTAAAAAAAAAGTCAAATGACTTCCTGTTGGCACATTACATGATGTGGGGAAAGTTAGAAAGGAGGAATAGAAATGACATTCAGACGTCTCAGCTTCAATATGCGAAAAATGTGCATTAAAAAACTGAATTTGTCGTAAATTTTGCACATACGTGCATGCTGGAAGGTTAACATTACATAAGATTATGTGGCAAGAATTAATTCTGAAATAACGAAATGCTGAGCAATTTATCATAAATATGTTATTATTATAACAAAGGAGAAACAAAAAAAATTAAATAGGAAATTAAAATTAGAATTCTGCTTTACATGCTTTTTATCTTAGATGCATAAGGGTCAGACAGATAAAAGTTATACAGCGATACAAACACCACAATGCTGCTCTTTCAGCGTAAAAATTCTAAAACACCATTATAGTTAAGTTGATAAATTATAGTATTTCAGACAGCATTTAATCTAAGAGCATACAACTTGAGCAATGCCTTGCTCTTAAACCTAGAACATCAAAATATGAATCCAGGATAATTCTCAAATATTCATTTAAAACTAGTTGCACAAATCATGAAATTTCCATCAGATTAAAAACTAAAGAAAAACAACATGCCTGTATGTAGGTTTACTGATCGACTTTCAGCAAAAATATTGAAATATAATATAAAAATTGTATGTAGTAGAGTTCTTTTGTTATAAATCACATTCTCTTTCTTCTGTAAAAAATCACCAAATTACTAAGGTGGTTGCCTGAATATGCAAGAATCATTAAATTAACATATCATTACTTTGTGCATATCCATCTAAAATAAAACATTAATACAAGTATGGTTTGATCTTTACATTATGGTAACTTGGCGTTTTTTTGGCGAAAATTTGGCGACCAACTCTCCTACAGCAACCCCCTTTTTTTTTTTTTTTTTTTTTTTTTTTTTTTTTTTTTTTTTTTTTTTTTTTTTTTTTTTTTTTTTTTTTTTTTTTTTTTTTTTTTTTTTTTTTTTTTTATTTTTTGTTTTTTTTTTTTTTTTTTTTTTTTTTTTTTTTTTTTTTTTTTTTTTTTTTTTTTTTTTTTTTTTTTTTTTTTTTTCTTTTTTTTTTTTTTTTTTTTTTTTTTTTTTTTTTTTTTTTTTTTTTTTTTTTTCCCGCCGCCATTTTGTCTTCACGAAGTAAAGACATGTTTCTTTTCTTTTTATCTACTGAACACTTCTTCCCAACAATCTACTAGCCGAATTACACTTATGCTAGAAATTTTATCTAACAAAACTGCTTAATCATGACAAATATTCACTGCAAAATTGGGAAAAAGTGCACAATACCATACTCCTTACGCGTTTTTTTTTTTTCAAAATAACACATACACATAAACCATGTAAACCATGTACACGCCGACTTATTTTTACTTAAAAAAACATCCCAGAATTGCACAAAAATGGCATTGCGCACACTCTTCACTATATCCATGTACACTGCTTTTTTCTCATAAATTAGAAAAATTTCACGAAAATACATGACAATTTTCTCAATCTTTAAACCTGGTAAAAAGAACATATATGAAATTACCTGATCGCGAAAAAGTATTTACCCTTTCCAAATAGGAATATTTCCACATATGAAATAAATAAAATATCCAAAAACTTTTACCTCTAAATCATCTATTACATTATACACGTCACCAACGAATTCATACCGCAAGCATTACAAATACTTAGTATCAAATATTTAAATTATTTTCCATGCACGTTTACTTCAACTTAACTTAACGTGTACCAAATTCCTACAAACATAAAATTCACAAAAATAACTATCATTTAATTAAAATATCACTAAACCATGTACACGTCGACTTATTTTTACTTAAAAAAACATCCCAGAATTGCACAAAAATGGCATTGCGCACACTCTTCACTATATCCATGTACACACTGCTTTTTTCTCATAAATTAGAAAAATTTCACGAAAATACATGACAATTTTCTCAATCTTTAAACCCGGTAAAAAAGAACATATATGAAATTACCTGATCGCGAAAAAGTATTTACCCTTTCCAAATATGAACATTTTCCACATATAAAATAAAATAAAATATCCAAAAACATTTACCTCTAAATCATCTATTACATTATACACGTCACCAACGAATTCATACCGCAACCATTACAAATACTTAGTGTCAGATATTTTTAAATTATTTTCCATGCACGTTTACTTCAACTAAAAACGTATACCAAATTCCTACAAACATTAAACAAAAATTCACAAAATAACTATCATTTAATTAAAATATAATTAAATTCAAAAACACTACTTAAAATATAAATGAGCACATACATTAAATTAATACATACATAAATACCCATTTCGAATTCACTTTAGTTACGGCCATGGGATCCAAAAATTCACGAACACTGTTTCACACAACACAGAATAAAGCCAAATACAAAATTTCCAGATTTTTTCCCGATTTCCCCCCTTTTCCGATTAAAGAACCGTAATTCGTCCATTAATATCACATGACATATCCCATGATCTCTCATTTCCTTCACACAAAATAATGCGTAATCGGAACTGAGTACTGCTCACATTATTACCAAAGTCCCAGGTAGTAACCTTTATCGCCTCCAAAATGTCGTCAAACTACCAGTTACCATATTGTAAAGATCAACCCAAGTATGTTCTGCTTTCTTTTTCTTTTTTAAATACATAAAGAATTACCTCGCCTATACTTATTTCAGCTTCTGTATACTGCAGGCCCTTTTGTATGATAGACAGAAGAGCTGCTGGTGGCACTAATGCACCATTAATATTGGACTGACTGATGTGACTTTCAATTCCAAATGTATATGCAGAATGCGAGAATCCTAGAAAAAGAAGTAAAAAATAAATCACTTCAAATTAGACAGTTTTTTAAACATCAGACATGGATCATATTCTTTATACGATATAGAAATTTCTATAAATTCCTTTCCTTTCTCAAAGCACATCTACAGAATTTAATATTGGATGCAGTATACACTTCACAATTTTTGAAAGCTTAGCTCATCTTAAAGCAATGAATGATACACAGCAGCAAGGTGTATTAGCCAGAAGAAGCATGAGATATAGTTAAAAGTTTTTAATTGAAATCCAATTCAGGAGTTGCATTGCTGCGTTATGTAAGAAATTGCCATGTTGATTAATTTTGAAATGATGCAGTTTAAATTGATATATTATAAATTACTACTATTTTTACGACAGAAAGGGAAATACTCAAATCAAAGTGAAGGGAAAATGGAGATATTGCTAATTATAATTAGAAGTTTGCTTTCATATTTTTATCTTACAAACACTATTAAAAGATTACTCAGGCAAATGTGCAAAGCTTTTCACATAAACCCTCATATTCTGCATCACATAAAGTTCCACAAGATGAATGAAAGGTAGTCCAAAACGTCATGGCACATTTTTACAACAGATCGCTTATTCATATTTGAAAATACTACAGTGAGTTGCATCTATGTTATTGCTATGCCATCTGGGCAGCTGACAGTTCTTTCTTCTTCTTCAAAATTCAATTTGCTTGAATTTTGGAGATTTTACAAGATGAAAATCAAAGACAAAACAGTGCATTTTTGTCATATTTTACTCTTTTATTAGAAAGATGCATCAAGCTTTTAAAATGCTCGATAAGTTTATAGTGACAATGCTCTACACGAACGTCAGTGCTAACAATGGTTCATCAAATTCTGTAGCAAAAATTTTAATCTTAGGAATGCTCCTCAGTCAGGAAAGCCAGCTGAAGTTAATGATAACAAAATAAAGGCAATGATCAATTCAGTCCATGTTATACGACATGAGAACTAGCAAAAATGTTGGACATCTATCATTCAAATATTCAAGACCATCTAAAGAACCTGGGATATCAAAGCAAGCTCAATATTTGAGTTCCTCATGAAGTCCAAAAACGTTCATTTGACAATGCATACATATATGTGATGTTTATTGAACATGACGGAAAATTATCCTTTTTTTTTAATGCTACTGATAACTGAACTGGAATTATTTACAATACTATGGCATAAAAACAGTCTTCGTTCCAACAGCTTAAGTGAACATGGTTGTGAAAATGGGTTCCCACTGGTTGCTGGTGTTCAAAATTTTCTATCAGTGGTTTAGCACGTGTTAGACCAGTAGTCACAGAAAAGTTCTACATGCAAGATAGATGGCAGCATATCTCAAAATAACATATCAAAAGCAAATAGATAGGATGCAGTGAATGAGTTAGTGATTCAGTGTAGTCACATTGCTATCACTACTATGCAGATTGGTTGAAGGAGGGAAATAGAAGATTAGGCAAACAGAGTGAGAAATAACTGGCAAGCATTCTTTGAAAATTATGAAAATTTTAAGAGGTGTACCATACAATATATACAGAAATGCATTTCTTTCAAAACTTCCTATAGTTGTGGGGGTGTTTGGGCAAAATCAGTGACTTACAGAAAACGAACTTATGGGTAAGTGAGTGCAGGCTGGCATAATGCTAATCCAAATTTGATACAATTCACATAATCACACATCTTATATTGGTATTGCAAACATGCAGTGGTATTAACCATTGTGCAGTCGATATTCCAACAACATGAAAAACACTAGTTTATGCTAACAACAGGACAGGAAAAAATAGAATGCTGGGTTGGTGTCAAAAATATCGATTTTACATAACATACAGTCTTTAAGAAATGCCTTATCATAAAGATGAAAACTCATGTTGGTCAAAATATTGCCTAGCATGGGATTGTTCCGACCATGCTGTTTGATGGATTGGAAGCAATGGACATAATGGTACTGCAAAGGCTGTTGGCTCCTAAAGACCAACAGCAGAAAGGATCAAAGGATTAAATACCAGGCACATATGGATCAAACGGCAATGAGGCCTACAACACAGGTTCATGTAGTAGATTCAACAATCATTTCTCCTACTCAAAGAAGTGATTTTTCTATAGTACTTGATGTCTGGTATATTTAACACTGGAAATTTCATCTGCAGTGACGGTAGTAGCAAAATAAAACACCAAAGACTGACAATGTCTGACATTTAACAACGAATGCTGCTATACTTTGAGATGAAATGATAATGTACCTGGGTGACTATGTTCCCTTATTAATAACACAACCCACCTCACTACCAAATGGCACATTTTCTCTCTGAACGCATTACAATCTGGGCAGCAAATTTGATTTAATAGTGATATGGAACATTGATAGCCTAACATATACATATGAAATGCATTTCCATTTCTAGTTAAAATTTCAGGTGCAGTATTTTCTGCAGGATAAGCACACGTGCAAAGCAAAGAAAATTAACGTTTTTATTATAAAAAGAATGCATCAAAACGTTTTCATTTTTTGTCTGTATTGTCTTATCTTTATCTATTTTCAGGCATATTGTATAAAAATATTTGGTAATTGTAAAATTATTATAAGTTAAAGAAACATCAAAATGGCTACAATTTTTGGTACTATTCGGTTTCGAGGGCCGTAAAAAATCGCCAAACTATTGTTGATGCCAATGCTGCCAAAAATAATTGCGGCAACCCTAATAATTGCGGCAAGAAAGGAAGTATAATAGTAAATAACTATTTAAGATTGATGTTTTAATTTAGATGAAAGGTTAATTTCATATAATACTCTTTTATTATTATAATTTATATGAAAAAGTCTAAACATGACTGAATGGAAGCATAAGAGTAAATAACTATTTCAGATCGTTATTATAATTTATATAAAAATTGCTAAACATAACTGAATGGATGCCTGCATCGCTATTTCGCTACCGACTTATCGCTAAAGCATAATTTCATCTCGTTGGTAGTTCAAACATAATTTTCTATAATAAATGATGACTTTTCTTTGAAAATATTCTCTGTAAAGTGCAGAATCGCTCACTTGTTTGCCGCTTTTTACAAGGGTAAGAACAATTGGATTTTTGTCAATTTTCTTTTACTTTTTAAGTGAAAATAGGTCGATATGTACATAGATAAAGTCAAGGGTGTGCGCAGTGCCATTTTTGTGCAATTCTAGGATTTTTTTTAAGTGAAAATGGGTCGATGTGCACATGGATACCGAGTATGTGCAATTCTTAAAAACGCGTCAAGCAGTGGGTGATTCTGCACTTTACCCAAAATTCTATTGCCGAGTTTTCGTCATAGGCAATTCCCAAATTGTTAATCCATAGGATATCAAAAAAGGATTTAAAATCAGAAAAGGATTTAAAAATTAAACTAGTATTTTAATGGCGTCTTAAGAAATATAGAACTATATAAGCTTAGCGCAATCTGAAATCAGCGTGTACGCTAGATTTGGCGGGCTATTAAATGAACGCGTTTGCTAGATTTGGCGCTTTTGCGCGTACATTTTCGCTGCAGTTTTTTTACGGCCCTCGAAACCGAATAGTACCCAATTTTTTTGCGACCCACTGCTGCAAGTCCCGCGACCCCCAGTTTAAGAAATCCTGATTTAGATCATTCTTCTCTGCTGTATGACAACAAATGCACATATGTATGAATCTGCTGTGGATTGAATTGAAACATGTATTGCAACATAAAGTGGTATGGCATGTTACTGAACATGACTAGATTGCATATGCGAAATCCAACTTTCCTGTTGCTGTATTTTTTTTGCTACCATAGCATTAATCTTTATCATGATGTCAATAAAGTGTTAAATTAATCTGATACTTCCTTCTCTGTTTGCTAATTTCATTGCCTATAAATGTGGAGGGGTAACAGGAATGTAATATAATATATCAATATCTATGTGAAAATGTTACTGGAACAGTGAGTCACAAGTGTACATAACTGTAATGTTAGTTGGTTACTATACATTTTAGATAAAGAAAAATTGTATTAAATTTGATTTTTTGTTGCATGGAATACTAAACACAATACGTTACAATACTTTCAAAAGGGGAAAATCAATGCAAAAAATAATATACCTGATTCTTGCAGATAACGGTACACAAGAAAATTTACTTCATCACTGCTAAAACTCATTTTGTTCAAGTGATTTCTAAAACGATAAAAGGACAAATGTACAAAAGTAAAATGTGCAAAGATGTAAAAAATAAAATAATATATAAATATATACATTGTTATATGAAACTGTTTACATGTGCATAAAAATGGATTTCTCAAAAACAGTTGAATAAAATTGAGTGAATTTATTTTAGGCAATGTACAACATAACAACACATAAATACAAACTGAAAAATCACATATGAACCCATACAATACAAAGCAATAAATGCTATGAAAAAAAGAAAATTGAAATAATATGTGATAATGAAATTTTAGGAAAAAATACACTGAAAACAAATACAGACTTTTAATACTGATAGGAAATGTGATGCATCCTAATTCACACATACATACCACAATGTGACTTCATGCTATTACTAAGATGGTTAAAGTTTGAGGAAGGAAATAAAACTCATCTACAGATATGGTATTCAATACACCGATATTTTCAATACTTTGAACTTCATCACCTTATCTTAAAGAAGTTAAATTCTTTACAAAGATTGAGGCTGGTCTGTTTAAGCTCAATGTTATTTGTTTCAAGAGTGTATAGCTAGAGTTGCGTGCATGAGTAAAAATTTTTTACATAAAGTTGTAAGGCTTCATCTATCTACTTTTGAGTAAACACATATCCTCTGTTAAATGATAAAGATGATTTGAGTATATCCACTAACCTTTACTCTTTTCATACTACCATAACAGCCAAATTGCTTACAGTTCTTAAAACACATGTTTTGCTTTCTGGCTTCCTCTAATTGTAAATACATTTGGAACAGGAGGTTAGTTTTTTAGCTATAAAAATGGAACAGCTTCTCAAATAAAATATTAAAAATCAACTATCCCAACAGTGAGAAAATGTCTTCAAAAACGCGGTTTTCGCATATGCAAAAAACACGTTTTGAACACACAATTTAAGCTCAAAATCCAAAACAAAAACAAAAAATTTAGATAGCAAAAATGTAAAGTTTCTAACCAAAAATATCTAACAAGAAACCATGTACACAGCGATACGTTTTACCTTAAAAAAAAATAATAAATCTACGAGTTGCACAATCTAGGCAACGAACGAATCTACGAACTATGCACACCTCGCTTTAATAAATTAACATAACAACAATAAATTTCAAAGAATACCACGTACACAGCATCCTGTTTAAAATAACATCTACAAATTGCACAATCTAGGCATTGCGCACAAATCAACAAAATAAACTAAAATAACAAACAATTCAAAAAACAACAATAACATCAGAAATTCATTGTAAAAAAACAATGAACATAACATTCTACAAAATAAAAACCGTAAAATAAAATGCACTTACCATAATACATTCGTTAATAAAATTTCCCCAGTGACACAATGTCTGTGAACAAAACTGCCATGATTTTGCTATATCACATCTCTTTCTGCGATTCAAAATTTCGAAAGTAATGATAAAAACTTCCTCCAAAGTTAACTTACTACATGAAAACCATGATCCAAATCTTAAACTCTGCTGACAGCCACATACTTTACCAGCAAGCACTTGACTGCAAATCCACACAAGAACTATCAGAAGCGCCCTTCTTCCTCCGAGTTCTCATAGCAGCTCCGCATTTCGGACTCCGTTTCAAAAGGTCATACATAAATTCCAAAAATACACTTCGATCCTCATAAACACACATGTGAACAAAAGGTCGTTAACAACTTCAACATCGTACCTTTTAATACTAAATTTACTTTCCACACAATCTAAAATTTGCGATTAAAATCTTGCCACCATGTCTATCATTGCAACATAAGCCATTCAACACAAACCAATGAGCAATTAAACCATTGCAGGAAAAGAGTTAAGTTTCAACATCAAAAGGGTTGCCATACAAACAACATCGTCCCCGAAACCACAGCACTGCAACCGCGCCAAAAACCAGCGCTGAACATATATTGCCACACTTGGTATCTTAGGGCAAATATAAGAGTAGACCAGGATTTCAAATTTGATGCTTTTTAAAATCAATTTACCCTCAGCCTACCTGTGTATATAGGTATAGAGAGTTACGGTTTTGGTCCAAATATTCAATAGTGAATTTTCACTGAAGACACACAAATGAAGGTTTCCAGAACACACTTTTACAATGAAACTTGTCTCTGCATATGTATGTGAAGATATTTTCATCTGCAATAACTCTTACATAAATTTTTTAAAAACTTATATTTTTCATATTTAAGTTTACGCATTCAAAGATTTCATAAGATTTTAGGTAAAATCAGACAATTGGAAGTGATACTTTATTCGAGGCACATAAAAATTTTTAATGAAAAACTATATTAAAATATAATCAAAAACTTTTCAATTTTAGTAGTTAAAATATCTATATCAATGGAAATAACGGTTGATCTTTACAATATGGTAACTGGTAGTTTGGCGACATTTTGGAGGTGATAAAGGTTACTACCTGGCACTTTGGTAATAATGTGAGCAGTACTCAGTTCCGATTACGCATTATTTTGTGTGATGGAAATGAGAGATCATGGGATATGTCATGTGATATTAATGGATGAATTACGGTTCTTGAATCGGAAAAGGGGGGAAATCGGGAAAAAATCTGGAAATTTTGTATTTGGTTTATTCTGTGTTGTGTGAAACGGTGTTCGTGAATTTTTGGATCCCATGGCCGTAACTAAAGTGAATTCGAAAATGGGTATTTTATGTATTATTAATTTAATGTATGTGCTCATTTATATTTTAAGTAGTGTTTTTGAATTTAATTATATTTTAATTAAATGATAGTTATTTTGTGAATTTTATGTTTGTAGGAATTTGGTATACTTTATCAGGTAATTTCATATATGTTCTTTTTTTACCGAGTTTAAAAAGATTGAGAAAATTGTCATGTTATTTTTCGTGAATTTTTTTCGAATTTATGAGAAAAAAGCAGTGTACATGGATATAGTGAAGAGTGTGCGCAATGCCATTTTTTGTGCAATTCTGGGATGTTTTTTTAAGTAAAAATAAGTCGGCGTGTACATGGTTTAGTGATATTTTAATTAAATGATAGTTTTTTATTTGTGAATTTTTTATGTTTGTAGGAATTTGGTATACGTTTAAGTTGAAGTAAACGTGCATGGAAATATTTAAATATTTTGATATAAGTATTTGTAATGCTTGCGGTATGAATTCGTTGGTGACGTGTATAATGTAATAGATGATTTAGAGGTAAAAGTTTTTGGATATTTTATTTATTTATTTATATAATGTGGAAAATGTTCATATTTGGAAAGGGTAAATACTTTTTCGCGATCGGTAATTTCATATATGTTCTTTTTACCGGGTTTAAATATTGAGAAAATTGTCATGTATTTTCGTGAAATTTTTCGAATTTATGAGAAAAAAAGCAGTGTACATGGATATATAGTGAAGAGTGTGCGCAATGCCATTTTTGTGCAATTCTGGGATGTTTTTTTTAAGTAAAAATAAGTCGGGCGTGTACATGTTTATGTATGTGTGTTATTTTGAAAAACGCGTAAGGAGTATGGTATTGTATGTGCACTTTTTCCCCATTTTGCAGTGAATATTTGTCATGATTAAGTACTTTTGTTAGATTAAATTTCTAGCATAAGTGTAATTCGGCTAGTAGATTGTTGGAAGAAGTGTTCAGTTAGATAAAAAGAAAAGAAACATGTCTTTACTTCGTGAAGACAAAATGGCGGCGGGAAAAAAAAAAAAAATAGAAGGTTGCTGTAGGAGAGTTGGTCGCCAAATTTTCGCCAAAAAAACGCCAAGTTACCATAATGTAAAGATCAACCGAAATAACATACTAAATTTCAGCTAAAATTAATAAACAAGAAGTGATACTTTACTTCAAGCTCTGAACAGACTTCTGTGAAAAAATATATTACAATACAATCCATAACTTCTCATATTTGGTATTCAAAACTCATATATACATATACCATGAATATAGAGTCATGGCTGAGAATAACATATTACATTTTTAATACAATATTATAACACAGAGATGGTTCTTTACTTGGAACTCTAAACAGATTTTTGTGGGAAATATATCAAATCGATATAAGAATTTAATTTGAAATAATGCAGCACATATTAAAGATATTGCTATTATATCTAAATATGGTATTTATTTATATCAAGCCATAGAAGAGAATCAATTTTATAAAGCAGTTCATATGCAGAACTTCAAAAAGCTTCAAATGCAAGCATGTTACCAAAAAATGTAATTATTCTTTTCCACTTTTGATGATAATGAAGAACAAGAGCAAATAGCAAATTTGAAAACACTAGTTCCTTTACTTCTTGCTGATCTCAGAACAAATGGCACTTACTATTCAACTATAGTTCCAAAAACTAACCAACACTTTATCAATACCTAATTATCAGGGGATATCTGTGCAGATCAAAATTAATTTAGAGATACTGACACTATAGAAATAAGACAGGTAAAAAAATGAAAATATGGTATTTGTTTCATAGCATTTATTTTAACTATAAACATTTAATTTCCTTTCATTAAAAACTAATTAAATTATACACTACTGGACTATCAAATAAAATAAAGGGACAAGTATTTGATTATGTTGATATAAATTTAGAAAAACCACTTTTAATACAAGGGCAATTATGCCTAATAAAATATAATCCAGATTTTTTTTACAGACCTTTCTATTTACTGAATCAACAAATTAGATAGGACTATAAGGGGAAATTGGTTCATATCCATATACACACAAAAAAATTCAGGAAAAGGTCCATGCAGCCAACCTATTAACTGGTATTTGAATTCAAGTTGAACTATCAATGTTCACTGGTTTCAAACACTTGGGTTGATATATATGGGTTGTTCAAGCTTAAAATATTTTCCTTCTCACTCTTTGCCACCTTTGTAGTGAACTTTCTAATGGAAACTTGTTCATATCCATGTTAATGGGAAAAACCATGAAAACACCCATACAGCCAGCCTGTTTGCTTGGAATCATACGACATCTTAAAATTTTCCATCTTTGCATACATATGAAACTATGACTAACATGAAATAAATACATAAAACTGGGATTAATCCTAGTATATGGTACACATGAGATTTGGCAACATTACGATGAATAGTAAACACACTATTTAAGAGCAGTAAACGAGTCGTTTTGGTGACAATTTTTAAAATCGATCCGAAGCCGTACTGTATACTAGGATTTTACCTAAAACTGTACTGACCAAGAGCTACCTCATAAATATGGAACATAGAGAGGGGATTGAAATTTTCTGATCTTGCATGAAATAGGAATAGGCATATAATCATAAATAATTTTATTAAAGTTCATTTTATTTACAAATTTAATTTTCTTTTCTGACCTTTTCTGGCTATATAAACTCATACTATATTTATTGTATTTACTAAACATATTGGAATTGTGAACAGATATTAAATTAAATGTATTTTATGCCTTTTGTATTTTCCCAGTATTTTTTTCTCCCAGCTCTTATGGATCAAATTAACAGTTTATTAGCCTCGTAAAGAAGGTTTATCATATGTTATAAAAATCATGTTTATTATAAATAATTATGTAAAGTACATTTATTATACATATTTAGTTAGCTAGTTTTGTAAAGCACTTTTAGCAAACAGTACATACTGAGGTTCAATGGAAAGTTTTAGGAACACAAAAACTATATGGACTTAAAGACCAATAAGATTAAGAGGGCATTGCTTGCATTTTAGAAAACAAACGACAATCCCCTGACACCTCTGGATTCAAAGATGAAATCTTACAATAAACATGTATTTTCTTCCGTGGCCGGCTATTTGCACACTTTCTGTTACAGAAATAAAATATGAATGACACGAAATGAATACCTTTGATAATGAAAAAGTAAATACTTACGCTCAATAAAAAAAGACGTAATACCTGTTTTCAGACACTTTATTATATTTACATATTTGCAACTGACATTTAAAAAGGAAAAATATAAAAAGAAAATTATACACTTAAACTATATTACACCTTCTTTTGATTTTAATAAAAGCGTATCTAAAAAATATAAATTAAAACTCAAACACATTACTAATTAATTAATAAAATAACAATGATACATCACACGCTATTAAAACGCTATAACTCGAGAGACTCCATAACAGAAAATCCGGGGAAATGAAATGATATCGATTAAAACTAAAGTTTATTCCTCAGTTTACTTCTTCTTCTTGTTCTTGAAGCTTGGCTTCCCTTTGGCGCCTTGCGCCTTCTTCAGTTTAATTCCAATAGTCTCCCGCCCCAAATAGGAACACGGTACAAAGCCGCAAAGTTTTTATACAAAACTATTTTTTTAAAAAGTTGAAGAAAATTACAAAGTGCATAAAATTATTTTATGATTTGTATCTCAATGCAAGAATATCATTCTGTAAGAGAAGAAGAACGATCTTGTTTTTTCCATTAGCTATACATAAATCACATGATCTCTGAGGTCTTGGTCATAAAAATTACCGTCTTTCTAAAGGAATTAAGAAAATCTTGAAGTAATTTAATAAATTGCAACAATTACGAGTTTTATTGCGAAATTTCGGTGTTACGTTCATTTCTGACCAAATAGTTAGTCTCGGAAGTTCTGAAATAAAATTTTGGGAAGCTATAATTCATGCATAACAAAGAATCTGCCTAATAGGTTTCTGATTATTGATAATACACAATCTATAATCTTGTTCTTTTTATTGCAAACGTTAAGGGGTTATCACATGCATGACACTATTAGGAACTTTTCCGAGAAGCGTGTTTCTCTCAACAATAGTTAAAGGGAAATTTTTAGCTGAAACATATTCGCTGAACGCTATATCCCGGGGTTTCTCTGGAGGAAAAATGCTTCGCTGCGATTGCGTGTCGCTTAGGTCCAGAGTCGTAGCTAGGGTTTTCAGCGCCCAGGGACAACTGAAGATTTCGCGCCCCCTACTGCTTGCCAAGGATGGAAAACATTTAATTCTAAAATGTGGTAACATCAGTTTGGCGCCCCTTGGATTCTGCGCCCGGGGACAGATGCCCCCCTCTAGCTACGCCCCTGCTTAGGTCGTAGCCAAAGAACTGGTCTTCATGTAAGTCAGCCAATCAGATATCCTGATTGACTGATATGAAAGCTAAAAGATTACGCTGTTTGGCACTAAAGGCCCGTCTACAGGTAGCGATTTTCACGGCCGACATAGCTGGTCGACAATATCTGAGATAGCTGTCCACACGGAACGAATTTCTCGTTAGTACAGGAATTCACTCAGCCAATCACTATGAAAGGAAGTGTTCCCGCCCTTTACAGCGTCACACTGTCTACGATTTGTAAACAAAGCTTACGGTGTTGTCAAATAGTCAAAATAATGGATGACTATTTTAAATTGCTACTATAGATACAGCTACAATTTTGAACTTAGCTACTTCTAGAGGAAAAAATGCGTTTGGACCAGAAATTTTTTTATTTTATTTATTTATTTTTAAATTTCACTTTCTGGCACTCCTATTTGAGCATTTAAATCTTGAAATAATAAAATAACCATGCTTCAGAAAAATAAGTAACTACTGTGCTTTAAAATAAAATCTTTATTAATAAATAAATAGACAATAATGTCATGAATATCAAACCAGGATGAGTAAAAAGTAGTAATAAAGAAAAAAGCCACATTACAAAGCAACAGTGTAATTTCAGTGCAAAAATTTCAAATAAGAAATATCATAAAGGTTCAAATTCTTAAGTAGTATACTTATTGAACATTAAAAAACTAATATCAGCATAATTAAATAATTAATACAGTCTAAAAACTATGATCGTATGACTATCAGTTAATCAGCGAATAAAATTTAGCAATATTGTATTAAATTGGGCTGTAATTTGCTTTCGCAAAACTCAATTAACACAAAACTGAGTTTGTGACTTTCTTTTGAGCAGTAGATCTAAAACGCGTGCCAACGGCCATTCGAAAAATAAAAAGAAAGGCGTTAAAATTCAATAAAAACTCCACCCATAGGCAAAAAAATAAAACGTGACTTTTAAGTCATCCAGTTCGAATCTAATGATGGAGAAACTAAATTAAAAAGTTCTTCCAGGCGCAGAAAGTCCAAAATTAAGGTTGGGAAATCGAACCCATGATCTCGATCTACGAAGAAAACCTGGTCTGCTCTTTCCCACTGGGCTATGGTCGCTCGCGTAGGAGGTGTCGGAAAAGCCATGTACTTCGTCACCTGATTTAACTCCTATTTTCGGCGAAGTCAATGAGTCTCTGCGCTGCTTTATTCTCGACTGGAGATTTTGCTTTCTGAATTTTTTTCAATAAGTGCGACCACAGTTTCAAGTAGTTTCTGAATATTTTCATCTAGTACCATTACATGGCATCATTAATAGTTTTTGAAACTTTTTTTGGGGGAGTTAAAATAATTTTCACCCAGAATAGAAAATATTTGAATATATAAAGTAATGGGGAAGACAAAGCTTACCAAAATAAGATAATCCCTTAATTTTTTATTTTTTAAATTTACATTACTCGTGTCCCACAACACAATATTTTCTCTATAGAAATATATTAGTTGAGTTTTGTTCCAACGAAATGCAGCCATGTTTATACTCCAAATGAGGAGAAAAGCACGTGATCACTCAAAGCAATCTTATTGGTAAAATAGTAGCTCAACGAGAAAGTCGGCCGAGGAAATCGCGTCGTGTAGAAGGGCTTTAAATTATCTCTTTGCGGAACCCTCTTTTTGGCGATAAAGATAATTTTTTGACGATGTCGGGATAAAGGGTACACTGCCCAAAAAAAAAAAAAAAAAAAAAAAAAAAAGACAGTGCTATATCTCGCGTTCTACTGGTGCGATTCACGAAATTCAAATTGCGTTCTTCATGTCTCGAAAGCGCGACTTAGGATATATATTAGATCCCTAAGTCGTATAGCATATCATATTCTAACATGGGTATTTTGACACAAAATCGGACTTTTTCTGAAATAACATATCAATTTTTTTACATATTTCGATTCTACGACTCAAACTATGCCAGAATAACCAAGTTTTGTAAAAATCGTACGAGTAGTTTTTAAAATATTAGCTCTCAAAATTTTAGCTCCTCAATGCTTAATTGAATTTGGCAATATATTTATTTATATCTCTCTTTTTTATTAAACTTTTTTGATTTTTTCTCTCACATTTCGAAATTTAGGTTCATTCCAAATAAAATTTACCCATTTTTTTGTGTTTTATTTCTTAAATTTCTATTTTTAAATAATTTTTATAAATTTTATGAAAAAATTTTGAATTAACCTATAAAATTTTTACCATCATCTTAAAGTAGGTATTTTTTTAAGCATATCTGCAAAAAATTAGACTTTTTTATTCAAAATTTTCTAATTACACGAATTTTACATATTTCGCGTTTTGAAATTTGGCATCTTTTTTTTGAGCGATAATAACGCCAAATGTGGTCTATGGATTTTTGTTACACTGAATTGCCACAGCTATTTTTAACCTTAAATTTCAAGTAAATTTTACGGAAGAATTAATTATATGACATTTTTTCCCTCAATGATGCGTAATAATATTTATTAATACTATAATGAAAATCTATTTTTTAAATAAAGCTATTTTTAAATTTTTTTAAATTTTTTTTTCTCTCTCTTTTTTTTTTTTTTTTTTAAAATAAATTTTTGTAAGAGTAAATTTTTACCTTCGGCGTTTTATCGTCTGCTACTTTACTTCGTTTAAATCGAATTGTCTAAAACTGAGAATTTTCGTTTGATGTTTATTTGAATTTTACGACATTAACTGCAAATTTATTTCTAAACAAACTGTTGCTTTTGAAGTGGCTGAAAGAGCGGCTGATACTATCATCCATATTTTTAAAGCACAGTATATTTTTTATAGAAACATAAGATTTAGAATAATCACTTTTATAAAAGTCAAATTATGATATAAATATACAACCCTCTAGAGAATGAATTAATGGAAGTTCAATGGTTATGTAGAAATGATCTGCAGCTACTTAATCGCTGGATAAGTCAGCAGATTCCGTGGACAAGTAAGAATAATTATATAAACGACACCCAACATTCTGAATTCAATTAACAACTAGGATACGATGTTTATTAAATGAAATCAAGAAGTTTTAAAACATAAAAAATCAACTCATTTTTTATCCTAAAATGTATTTTTGTGCGTAGCGTATTTTCATTATTCTAATTTAAATTCTAATAATTCTTAAATTCTAATTTAGAATGTAATTGTCAAGAACTGAATTCTAATCATCAGTAAATATAATAAGTAATTATTACGGTTATTAATAATCCTTCTTATAAAGTAATTGCAAATATTTCAAAAAAATTTCTGTCTGAATGTAAAATTTTTCTGTGCAAATATTTTTAATTTTATATTAATCAAGATTGCGCACGATATTATTTATTTGCACCAATTCTTAACGTCAGTTCTAGTAGAAGTTACAAATCAATTATATTTAATTAAGGATTGGATTGGATTGGATTGGATTATTTAATTATGGCAAAGCACGCGAGGGCTATCTGCCTAAAGGGAGGGATGCCTTCGTGGAGGACTTTCTAAGGAAAACTGGCTCGTATACACGTTACACATCAGGAAAACCAAGAAAACGCCCATGCAACCATCCCGTTTGCGGGATTCGAACCTCGGACCGAACTACCAGTGATCAGAGTCTTTACCGCTCGGCCGTTTGTGGGCCTTTATGAAATGGAAGGCGATAACTTTAAAATGATTGTCAGAAATACCAAAATGTTTCGAAAAGTTGGATAGCTTTTTAATATACTTATAGAATGCTACCAGGCGTTCCAGTCCTCCGTAACCTACCTACCTACCTACTTATAGAATCCTGAAGAAAAAAGCGGAAGCCCTTAAGAAGAAAAATAAATTTTTGCATAAAATTTAGTATTTGTATTTTTTTTTTTAAGTTTAAAACTTTTTAATCTTATGATATTTGATTCATGCAATTTTAAAAATAAAATATTTGACTAAAATATGAATAACATTTTAAGAAACCAAATGTAGGATAAAATTGTGCAAAACAATGGGCAGAATGATAAAACTGTTTAAAGCAGTGTATGCAAGTCATCCTAAGTTAAAATATCGGTTATACATCTCTCTTATTTATATATATCTTTTC